GTCGAACTATTTGCGGGCGGGACGCCGCACGTCGAAATGATGCGAGAGTCTCAGGAAGCGTTTCATTCTGGTAAAGGGAAGCGATACACGCGCGAGGATTTTGACAAGTGGTTGGGAGACTTTGATTCAGTCACTGATATTCCCACCTATATTATGGATGATCTCGTATTGGCGTACCCAGAGGCCAAATTCATTCTGACGTTGCGTGAGAACGATGCTTGGGTTAGATCGGTCAAGAACACATTCTTGCCATGGGGAAAGGCAGAAGAGAAATTTCCGCTCACATTCTTGAAGTACTTCGACCCGTTTCTATGGGCAATGGCAAAGCGCCGCCGATCGATCAACAAGATCTTCTGGGGTGGGGTGGATTTGAACGACGAACCGGCAGCCTTAGAAGCAGCTCGGCAGTACTATATCAAGCACAATGAGCGTGCACTGAAGATTATTCCACCGAAAAATCTACTGGTGGTCAATTTGGAAGAGGGACTTGGCTGGGAGGAAATCTGCCCTTTTCTAGGTCACTCGATACCCGACGTCCCTTATCCACGCACCAATAACCCACAGATGTTCAAGGCAATCACGACTAAGGTACTCCGAGACGCGACATGGCGAGCATCGTTGAGGCTGGCAACAATGACAGCTCCCATCATCGGTGCGCTCGTCTGGTGGTATTGGAAATCGTGAGAGTTTGTTGGCTTACATAGATAAACGGACAAAATACCGTTCATGTAGTGTTTTCAAGCTAATTGACATCGCATCGGAGACTAAGGCGGAAGCATCTACAAACCATCGAAATCCCTACTTCATATTAAATAATACCACAGTTGTGCATCACTGAGCCACTGAAATAGTTACAATTGCATATTCAGATATTGGTGACTAGTTCACAGACTTGTGTTGCGGATACAAACCTTCCTCAGCATATCCAAGACCTCCTGGGTCTTATCGCTCGATCGATTCGTACCTTGGCATTCAATCATCGCTAGTTGGTCAACGACTGTATCTATCATGTCGGCAAGCACAGCTGAAAATAGCCATTCCAAAGCATTCTCGTGTTCCTCAAAATCAGCATAGTCGCACATGTCTTCCGCGTCGAGGAACTGCGTGATCACTCGCTTCCCATTGCATGACCAGTACTCGCGCAGCATGCAGACTACAGACTCCAATGCGCCTGAAAGATATATCTCTTCCGGGTGCTGTGCATTTGGAAAAACAATGTCCCAGATAGCACGCCACTGTTGTTTCGCAGACAGTTGCGGGCTCAAGCGCTTTGTGAGGAGCTCCAACTGGTGATAGGACATTCCTTCGATCTCAGATGTTGTCTTCGAGTTACACCCCCGCTTGATGATATGTGCATCGCACGCTGCGTGAGTTTCGAAAGTACTGTGGCAAATAGGGCAGAATGGAGGCCTGCGATGATCTCTCCAGATATGCTGCTTGACTTCACTGATGTGGCGCAAATGTACTTGCTTGAGGCAGCTCTGATGAGTGCTGGGGCTTCGTACGTAGTAGGGACATGCGAAAGCAGTGGCTTCGGGAGGATGTTTGTAACCAACAACAACAGTCTCGTCATCCTCCGAGTCCTGATCCATTGTTACACACGAGCCGGTGAAACTTCTCAAACGTTTACGTGCGGGGTCAGGACTATCTTGTCTCGCTCGCTTGCCATTAGATGACGCATCTTGTACTATGGCCGATGAGAATTCTGTGATTGCGAACTTTGTAAGTGCATCTTTGATTTGATGGAAAGGATGGTCGGAGTGTGGTCTCTCCCATCTGGGTGCAAGGTCCTGAAAAAGGTACATGTCTTCGTCAATCGAATCATCGCTATCCGAGTCCGTTCCCTGAAGAGATGGAGATGCTTCTTTGTCCACAACGTGTATATCAGGTGCCCATTGGCTCTCTTTTCCTACGATAAGTTTGGAAGGACCGGTGACCCTACTGCCGCTCACGTTATAAACGCTTGAAGGGGCAGTGGTGTCGAGTCCACTAAGCCGGGCCGCTGGCGGAGATTCAGGGTAGGTCATACCAGTGGATGAGTATTGTTCCCGTTGAAATTGTAGATTGACAGAAGGTAACTGCTGCGTATTTTCAGGTTGTGAGTGCGCATTACTGTTTGCTGCAAGTATCATTCGACTTTTGGAACCATTTCTATGTATTGGCATCGTATGAAGGTAGTGGCTTTCAGCGGAAGCAAGGTCCATCCCAATGACTCTAGAATCTCGGGGAGTTATATCCCGCTTGACTAGTAGCTTTGCGGGTGTTCCAAGGGGCAAATCATGAAGCTTCAGAATGGTTTGTGGAGAGTAACGGACGAAATAACCGTTCCATTCTCGCAGTAGCACTCCCATACATTTTGACGTAGATAAATCTGTGTCCTCGACAGAGATGCCGAGAATTACTGCTTTGTGTGCATTATCGATCCAGAAGAGGCTTTCGATGATCACTCCTGAGGAAGTGGTACAAACCAAGCCCTGCAGCCGAGAAGACTTCGTCGTAGAGAGAGTTGTAAAGTGACTGAACTCTGAAGGAGAAGATGCAAACAAGCCCCGATACATCTGGCTGCCATAGGCCTGCCACGCGAACAAAGTTGCGTCGTCTATGTATTTGAGAATTTCTTCCTGCAGCCGGAGAAATGAGCGTACCCCTTCACCGTAGATTATGGGCATGCTGACGTCGAAGATCCCGATTAGAGAGTACGCCATATCTTCGATACGATGTGCTAGGCGATGTGCACCCCACGACATACGGACTCCGACAGCATATTCAGCCAGGCAGTTAGCGTTCTCAAGTACTTCCTCGTTGACCCTCGTGATTCTCGATAGAATATGTAGCAGGGACTTCTTGGACCCTATGAATCTCCATTCACTATCGTAGAATTTCACTCGTGGTGGGGCAATCAGCTCTTGGAGAGTCCAACATCGGCGCATCCATCTGCAACGGTGCAGAGCTATCTCCAAATCATCCTCATTCGCCGTCGGTTCATAAGTGAGGTCGTCCAAGTAGACGATGCAGGTATTGCTATCTCGAAACCAGCGGAAGCTCGAGTTCGCAGCCTCTGTGAGTTCCGTGGTCGAAGAACGATTGATGCAAACGGTGTCAATCCAGAGCCAGGGTATCCCAAGGCTCGTAGCAATGCGACCAGCGTTTCGAAACTTTGAGAAGCTCGCTCTCTCGGTAGCGGAATCGAGGTCGGCCATATCATCGTATACTATCTCATCTTTATCCCAGCAGTGAGATACCGTGATGTATGGCGGAATGCAGGACGCGTGATCGAACGATTCCAGCTTCCATGTGGTTACATTCAGAAGTCTCATTGCTGCGTGCAAACGAGCGGGTCGTCGTTTATGAGAGCAGAGTCGTTGAATGATTCAGAGTGACTGACTGCAAGTCAGAGGAGAGTAAGTATGCTAATCTGGGCTCTTGAGGTGCTGAACTGTATGCTCGAGCATGATATACTCGCCTTCGCAGTTCGCCAAAGAGAGAGGATTCTGAAAATGAGGGCAGCCAGGCGACAGGGTGAAGAGGTGCGCACAATCGTGCACCAATGAGACGGCAGCTGAACGGAGTGCGAGGCTAAGAGGACAGCCACACCGAACGAAGGCTGCCACGTTTCAGCGGCAATCAAAACAAAGAGATTTACATTTGAGCAAAGGTTAAAAATCCCATGACACTGTTTTTAATCAGAGCCCACGGAAGTCTTCGGTTATTAAAAAAACTTACGATCAGTTGCCTTCTACTCATCAGTGTAGCGGGGTCGAGGGCCGACTTTCGCTGCGTATTGGCCCTCGCCGCTGTCCCACGCTCAACAAATTTCCATTGCGATGTACAAGAGAAGGTAGCCTAAATTTACGGGGACACTCTGCGTCTCATCATTCAATTTGCAGAGAACGGAACACGAAGATCCATTAAGCAACGTGCATCCATGTCGTCATTTATCGAAACCTGGTAATGCTGATGAGATCAAGGCCGCTCGACATGTGCATCGGGGAGAAGAGGTAAGGCGAGCCCGCCGCAAGCTCATCTCGCCCCCAACACTTATGCATTACGATCTATGACCCAAATTCCTTTCACGGTTCACATATTGTACCCTATGACCAAAGGTATAGGGAACAGGGCTCATGTCTACTGTCGATTCGATCCGGAGCATGCACAACTTTGATTCTCTGTGGAATCTGCCAGATCATGCATTACTTGAACTTGAAGATCATTTGGAGGCCCCCAGTCCGTAGAATTACTTCTGAATCATGAATCAAGAGGGATCAAGAGAAAATATACTTAGTCATGGATTTCAGTACACTCTTTCTCCCATTTACATTGTCAGCTATCAGCGAGGGACGGTGGCATCATCTTGAAAATCTATATACTCAATGCAAAATGCCCACAGACCTGAGAAACGCTGAGCTTTGGGAGATACATAGCCTTTCATTTCACACTACATGGAATGGATATGTATTTCGCCTACTTCTCTATATTTCAATGACTAGTATCTGGAAGTCGTAATCAGAATTCATGTTCAAAGCAGATGTGTCCCAACCTTGTTAGAACGTCAACCCTGCAAGTATTATGACAGCTTGGAAGATAAGAAATCACTCCCTACAGCTTCGGATGGTAGAGTGAAGCTTTCTGACAAATTAGTATTTGTATTCACGAGCAAGATCAAACAGATAGTTGACCTGATATAGGAGCTTCGTTAGACGGCACCAGAGATGCGTTGCTGTACTATACTTCGTTTCAAGGAGGGCCCCGTACATATGATGAAGCAAGTCTCATCACGGGAGACACTTCCTAGACATTTAACAGATTCACAGACGATATCACAAGAGAAGTAAGCATTTGTTTTGGGTCAAGGCCCAGTTTTCATTGACGAGTATGTAGGTCCTATGTAGAGCCTACCGCGAAAGTTGTCGTTGCGTAGCAAATGCAGTCCATAAACGCATCAAGTCGTATCCCTCAGTGATGCTGCGGTTCCGAGTGGGACGTGGGAGCCGAGGGGCTCGCTAGACCACGAAAGGAAGCACGAAGCCGGCGAGGATGAAGGCCAGGACAGTCGTGACGATGTCCATGGCGTGCTTCTGGACGCCGTTGCCCGGGGTCTCCGTCGGCACGGTCGAGGAGGTCGGGGACGCGCCAGTGCTGGTCACGTTGCTGCCAGTCAAGACGGCAGAGTGAGTGATGCTGATGGTGGTGCTGGTCATCGTGATGCCGGCAGTGGAGGGAGCCTCCACCGTGGTGATCTGCGACTGGGAGAGTGTCAAGCCAGACAGGCCGGGAGTGACAGCGGGCAGAGAAGAGACGACAGAGGGGGCCTCAGCAGCTATATAGTGTTATAATCTGAGTCTTCTTTGATATGACAGGTATGAAAAGTGAAACTTACTGGTGAGAATGGTAGCAGTGCCAAGAGTCTCGGGGACCGTGGCCGGTATGACAGTGGGCTCGCAGGTGCAGAGAGGAGCAGGGTCACTCAAGTAGACATCACGAGCAGCAACCTGATCATCGTCGAGATAAACCACTGAGAAAGTTAGTGAGGAAGCGGAGGTAGATCAGGGAAGAAGCTTGAACTCACCGCCGTCGACGATGTGGATGGCGTTGTGAGGGAGAATCTCCTGAATATGAGCGATGACGGAACCGTAGATGACTGGACATGTTAGTAAAATGCTTTACAAGGAAGGGAGGAAGCAAATAAAGCTTAGAATACTCACTGAAGGAGTACTGATCAGATGGGGCATCGATGACGCTGGTGCCAGTAGACTGGAAGACAGCACCTCCAGCCACGAGCAAAGCCATCAAGGCCGCGAAGATGGTAGCGTACACACGCATGTTGGACGTGATGATCGTGATGTAGCGTGTATTGCTGAGTGAGCAGGGAAATTGGGGTTTGTTTGGTGATCAAGGGTGTGAGTGAGCAGGATGAGGTTGATGGTGGAGGATGAAATGGGAGGATGGAGAAGTTTGTGTGACGGACACAAAAGTAAACTTAGATTCTCAAAAATATATGCCTACTAGGAGGGCCGGCAAGCTGTTTATCCTGTCCGAGCTGCAGATTCTGCCGGTTTCTTTGCGCAAGATATGGCAAACGGCGTGACCAGCGTTGATGAACGTTGTCTCATGCACTTTGCCGTTTAGGGAAATCAGCTATCCCTGCCTAGCAACCACTGGCAGGCAGCTCAGCTATCACCGAGGGCTTCTTTCGGGTCCATTTGCTTCTTTAATGATCTTTACAATACCTTGTTGTGCTTGTCTGGCTACGATTTATACAGATGTCTATCTCCTTCACCACTTACACGCCTTCAGATTGCCTATTTGGGTGGCTTCAGGTTAAGCGCCAGACGCTAATTGTTAGCGCCTGCCACTAAAATTCGTTGTTTTGCAGCTTAAACAGCCCAAACGCCAGTAAAGGGCGGCTACCCCACGCCTCCAACGCCTATTAGGCGCGCTGCCCGCTGGACTCCCACTGTGACTTCCCTTTAAATATGTAAAAATCTCTCCTTGTGGCATGTATACTGAGATACGGTGCTAACTTTTCTGCTTGGATATGTAGATCTGCTTAAAGAATGCGGTAATGGTGGCTTCAGCCGGAGCCTTCGAGGGCTTCAAGTACAATATCACTTCTTGTTTTTGGAAACGGACGTCCTTGACTTCGATATACCTTTTTCAGGTGTCCTGTGATGCGTACGCAGCTCGCGTTCCGTTCGAATAGACGTGTGGGCTACATTGAATCTGCAACAACCCGACTCTACCCTTACTTTAGACTAGAGTCGGTGGGCTTAGAACCCCTGACCTACTATCATCAGCTTATTTCAAAAGAGGGCGAGGCACAAGACGAGGAATACAAAGAAAGAATAAAGGCAGACACAGCTCGGTAGTCCAGCGAACCTGGCAAGAGGAATCGGGACATGAGGGGGATAAATTTGCATCAGGGGTAGCCTTGCGGTATGTTAATGTAAGCAATTCTCAACTGTCTTATCATACGTACTCAAAGCTAACGATTATTATATGTAGTGGTCCATGGTTGTAACAAAACGACTTGTTGACGGTGCCTCCTTGGAATCAAGAGTCAAAAACCTATCCGGGTACCCCCCTCATGCTGGTCCTGTCACTTTGGACGGCGCGGGCCGAACTTGGCTGAATCAAGACGACACAGTATGGCATATAGGCCAAGAAAACATGGATGATTGGACAACTATACAATCAAAGAAAGGAGAGCCTTGAGGAGCTCATATTTACCTGAGCAGTCGTGGGTGTTGGGATAAGGGAGTAAGCGGGAACGCTGTGTTTGAGATTGTTCATGTCAGATTACCCAACCTAGATGCCCATATTCCTACATGCTATAGTATACAGCCTCATGTGTCCGCAAAAAACGCCCAGGGTATCAAAGATCCTCCCACGCATGCATGATATGATATGGAGAACACCCTTCATCCAACAAGCGGCAGGATCCGCGTGGCCCTCCCATGATAAACCTTCAAGCCTGGAGTGTCAAATGTCAAACAGAAGAAAGATTGTCCCACGAAGCCCATAAGCCAGAAGAAACCAGTACCGTAAATAGACACCCTCGCAGACTCATCCAACCATGCTAGCAACAACAGCCATAGCACCGCCGTAAACACCAGCACAGAGCAGAATATCCAGACTTGAGTTCGAGCCGTCCGCGCCCAGATCCAGCGATCCTGACTGCATCAACGAGCCTACAAGAGACAGCCCAACCAGGAGAACGACGGTCATCCTGCCAACAAAGCCCGGAATCACTGCAAACGTCAAAATAGGAACCAACACCGCCACAGCCATTGCCACAGCTAGGTGGAGCAGAGCGGATGGGCCGTGAGGCGGCTTGACCAGCTCCTGCGTGGTATCTCGCGAGGTAGCCTGCGTCGTCGTGGCCGTTCGCGGCCGCGAGAACGACGATGATATGACACTGGAACTCATCGTAGGGCTGGGTAGATACGAGTCCTGCTGGCGGCCTGGCATTGGGGTGAGGGCTTCGTCGCTGAGGTTCTGGAAGTAGTCTCTGCCCATGCCGCCGGCTTCGGATGCTGGGGCGCTGGACGAAGCTGCAGACATGGAGCGGTTGGAGAGAGTCACGAGATCGTCGACGGGATCGAGGAATCGCGTCTCGATCTCTGTTATGGGCTGGTGTGTGGCGAGGTAGGTCCGGTATTCGTGGACTTCTGAGAGGGCGGGAGAAGGCAGGTCGCGGGTTGATGTGAAGGAAGATAGGACATGGTCTGCAAGGATGTAAGCGTATTGTACTTGATGCGGCATCGAAACGATCAAGGGGACGCGGGTATCACATACTGTACTGCCCCAGCTTGAAGCCAATCTTGCCCAAGATGTCGGTCTTATGCCATTGAAGCTCTCCCCCGGCTATAAACTCAGACCTTCTACTTGCGGGCAGAATACGGTTCTGTAGTCTTCTTGTTTGGGTGTCGGCTGTATCTAGTCGATGAAGCTGCTCCTCCAGCTCGCTCAGTTCGTCCTGTAGATGTAGCAGTAGTCGATGGTTAAGGGCCTCAAACTTTCGGTATATCGGCTTGATCTTCGGTTCTTCGACGGTGCCACCACTCCGAACACTACTGCTGCTAATGCTATCGCGCCGGGACTGGAAGGCCGTGGAGGCCGAAGCAGATGACGAGAAAGAAGAGTGTCGACGAGAATGTCCCGATGAAAGACGGGATGCAAGTAGCTCATAACCAGATAACGGTAGTTTTTCTGCGCGTGGAAGATGCTTGACATGTCCCTGGTTGGGGACTCTGGGCGTCAAGGCATTGCCCGGAACATGCGGGTGGTTCGCATTGCCTCGGGGCATTTCTGGCGTGCCATATCGATGAGACTTATTCTGCCGTCGTTGAGAAGCGTCCGCATTTGCAGCGAGCTTCGCATCCATGGACGCCGAAGGGCCCGGCATCGGTTCATCCCCATTGGCGCCTCGCTCGGGGCTTATACTCCGTTCTGTGTCCGCCGTACCACCCGAGGATGCATCACTATGGAAGCTGCTCGACGCCGACGACGAAGAAGATGAGCTCCGGGCAGACGGCGATGTCTTAGCTTCCAGCCCATCCTGCCGCCAATTGGCAGCGTCAGCGACGGACTGTCGTATAGTCTCTTCGGTGACGGCTGGGGAGTCCGGATCGAGGAAGCTCAGAGCGTCAGGGCGGTTGTACTGCTGGTCGCATGACTGGGACGATATCGTCTGCTGGTCCAAGCCTTTGGCGATGCCTTCTCTCCTTGTAAACGATGCTTGCGTGACTGTCGAACCGCTTCCGCTTGAGCTGCCAGAGCCACTCGTGCCGTTGCTTATGCCTGTTATACCTGTGATGGCCGAGAGGAGAGAAGGGGAGGACGGCCGGGGCCTTTCAGAAGGTCTCTGCTGCTTCGCAGGTCGTCTTCCAGTCTCGACCTCGGTGTCCTCGTCTGATGCGCCGAATGACGATGGCTTCGGGGCACGACGATGCGATTGCTCCGTGACTGTATGACGCCGATGGTTATGTGCAGATCTTGACCTCGGTGACGAAGTCGCAGCCGTGCTAGTCCGTCGACTCCCTACGCTCCTCGGCCTGGTCTTATGGGCAAGATGTTGGCCTTCGACCGAGTCTCGGCGATGTGGACGATGTAGATCTACTAGGCCAGCCTCCAGCTCGACTGGCTCCATCTGTCGGCGCGTGTCTTCGGTTATCTTCGCCTCGTGTTCGGATGTCCCAGCAAGAACGATATCTTCCGGCGGTTCGGGGATCGTCTCGACGGACGGAGGAGTGTAGCCGGGAGACATGACTGCGATGGGGAGGAGAACGAGGAGGCAAGGCGAGGTTGGACTGTGTGTATCCAAGAGTCAGCGCCTAGTTCAATACTTGCAGCATACTCAAGCCAACAACATTGCAGATAGATAGATAGTCATGGGAAACAGACATACCTCGCAGCAAGATAGGGTTTGTGCCGAGAGATCTCTGGCACTGGTTCTGGTGGGTGGGCTGCGCGTGCGAGATGCAGGATGCAGAGGAACAATGGGAATCTGTCCGAGAACAACCAGGAAGATGGCAGACGCCCGACAATGGCATCGACCGGATTGGACAGCCGTCTCCCAATATGCAATATGGGACCGGATACCCAGTAGAGCTGAGTCCTGTCTGTCTGTTTGTTGTATGTCGACGAGCTCTCAGATCAGCTCCGCTCAGTCAGATCTGGGATCTGAGAAAGGCGGTTCAGAGATGCCAAATTTGGCGTCCAGGACGATCAGCTTCGCGCGCCATGATTGTGGACTGATTATTCGGTCATTGATGTTTTATCTCTCAGCCTCGAGCGTAGCAAGAGACACGGGAGAGCAGCAGGGGTCCCAACGTTAGACGGAAGGGGGAACAGGCTGAAGAGCCACCGCCAGAATTAGAGAGCCTGCTCCTCCATTGCCCCCCGTCCCTATTCTCGCACTTTGTGTGCCCGTCATCCTTGAGGTGGCGTTGCCTTCTTGGAAGCGCTGGAGGTCGACTGGTACGGGCGGGCTGGCGGGATTGGGTGTGTTGGACATTGTACTATGCAGTACGTGTCTCACTCCAGGGCTGCCGTGTTTCAGATGATCCAAACGAGGGGACGAGTCGCCGCCAAGCAAGAGGGCACGGATGCTGTGGAGAGCTCTACTGCATCGAAGGTTTGGGGGGTGTGCGTGACAGTGTCAGACCAGTCAATTCAGTCTAGCTGTCTTGGGTCGCCTCCAATCCAATGAAGAGCTTCTCGGCTGGCAGGGGTGAAATGCCCACGAGATCTCGTGCATATCATATCAATTATCATCAGTTGTCGGGCACTGATATGATATGATTATGATGATAACCTGACCGATGAAGCTGATAAGTGGCGGAGAAAATCTTTGAGATACTTGAGTAGTTACACTGCGAATGCATGTGAATGTGAATGTGAATGCATGCGCTTCGGGCCGCAACACACACCTCTTTCTTTCTCCGACAAAGGCCTCTTTGCAACTCGAGACCAACTAGATAAAAACTGCCCTGTCCAAGCTAAACATGGTGAAATGCGGGGTTTTGGTTGATAGGCCGCAAGTACACCATGCAAAGGTCGTAGGGCCTCATCACTGGCTTCCCTTCCTCTGCAATTTTTTTTTATCCAATTTTCGCTTTCTATTTCATTTTTAGCATACAAATCAATGGAAAAGTAACGTTTCGATTGATGTAGGTCAAAAGGCTGCTGTATTGCAAAGTGATTATATCAGCTCAAGTCGAGCTCTGAGGTATCTATTGTCAGAGATAAACCCACGCGTCGATGGCAAATGCGTTAAATTGCCGTGTCAATTTTGAATATGCCGATTTCTGATACCGCTATCCCCCTCACGTAGCCCGCAACCTACTCTCTTCAAAAGCTTTTTTAAGGCGGGTAGTTCACGGACAGGATAGCCATGTTGTCAGGTTTCTCTTATACTAGTTGCAAGTAACTATTTCAACAAGTACATAGCTTGAAGAGCTACGTGACAGCTCCAGGTTCGGTTTCGGAATTCTTCAAGCGACTGACGAATATAATAAATTCCCTGAAATAAGATATGAAAGTGATTGTAATAAGAAGTTCATTGCAATAAGAAGCATTACTCAAGTGATAAATACTATTTTCTATGGGCAAGGCACCTTACGAGTACCGGGTATAATGTGTTGTAGAGGAAATTGAAGGCTTGTACAGGACAGTATGTGACCCCAATCGACGGGTCTCTCGACTCTGTCTAAAGAATGCGCTCCCATATTATAGGTGACTCCAAAAAACTCAACTCAAGGACTACATGCAGCTATTCAGTTGCATTTTAGTACCTTGCTCACCTTAGACTTGGTTTAAACATCCCTAGGTTCATTTTCTGCAGAACCCTGGTCAATATCGGTTGCTTCGCCTCTACATTTTGAAAGATTATTGGAGGCGGATTGATAGCCTTTGACTTGCTTTGGGTAGCTAGCAGCGGTAACCTCTTGTCTGCACCGTATTCTAGGAGAAGACGGACCATCTCTTGACTCACTTTAGCCTCGTCTGCAGGCCCAGAGCTAGTAGTCTTCGCAAAAAACGGCTTTCTACGAGTCAATGCCGCCTTGAGCAATGCAGAAGCACGATCGGGAGACGGGGTGGACGCCTCAAACTTGGCCCGCACATAATCGGTAAGGCTATGGCGAACAGCAAGGTTGAGAAGACAATCATCTCTTTGCCCACTTACGTCCGTGCTTACCCAGTGATAGTCACCGGATCCCTTGCCCCATATGGTCTCGATGTATGTCATGCTATTTGCGTTTCGTTTCGTAGCAAGCTGTTGTACGGCATCGTCTAGCGCATCGAGGTAACGGATATGGAGTTCTTTGTCGTATTGAGAGAGTTTGCAGACTTCATCCAGACATCTTGACACGACGTCTACAAACAATGTCGGCCGCAGTTCATCGATGGGCACAGCTTTGAGGTGAACTAGATGCGCCCGGAATAGTCCCGCGTGAGGGGTGAAGGACTTGTCAGAGCCTTGGACGATCTGCAGCCCCATCAGAGGCGATGTGAGGAAGTCCTTCACCGTCCTGTGTAGGTAGTCAATCTCGGCCGCGGCTAAGAGATATCCATCGTTGGCATCTGTATCCTCCGTAGGGGGCCTACGTGCATCTCCCAGGCTGGGGCACGCCGCGACACTAGGCAAAGTGGTCCCGGCGGAGCATTTTCTTGAGCCTTGCCAGACGTAGTCGGGGGGAAGCCCGAGCGGCCCTATTTCAAGAAGGCCCTTGCATCGACTGGACAGCCGACGTCTCATTGCGTTGGCTCTGAACAAAAGCTCCTCTGCGGTCAGGACTCGGACAGGTTGCTTTAATGCCCATTCGTGGTCATGGTCGTCTGCCAAGGATAGCAGCAAGACAGATCGTCTTGTGGTGGCTTTTGAGAACAGTCGAAACAAGTGTGCGGCATCTCGGAAGTGATCACCAGTCATTCCGTGGAGCATTTTCTTGAAAAGCTCGTCCAGCTCTTCAGGGAGCTCTTCAAACCTCCTTGCGAGCTCTGTTAGATTGTCTCCCTCTGCTATGCCCTCTAAGAGTGATCTCACAACGAGAACAACCCAAAGGAAGACGCCTGATGCCTTGGAGGTGATGTCCTCGATTAGACGCGACGCGTAAGCCGGATCATATCGCGTGAGCTCTCGGAACGCCACGCTTCGGGATAGGTTTTCGTTAGCATAGAGTGCGATATCTCCCTTCGTAAAGTCTTGAAGCATGAGCTTTGGTGACTTCTTGAAGGCGTCGTCAAAAACAATCAGAGGTCTGCTTGACACACATATCTTGACATCAGGATACGATGCCAGTTGCTGCACTATAGATATGAGCTTCCTCGGTTCCCCGACGTATTCGTCCAGGCCATCGATGAAGAAAACATAGTTGACCATAGACTCCTTGTCTTCTTCGACGAGGAAACGAAAGGCCTGGATCAGCTGATCCCAGTTGAGGGCGTTTGACGCAATTGATGAATTGCTGCCAAGTCGGTTAGACTGTCTACTGATGACGGAAAGACTGAAGGCACTCCACTTGCTGGAAAGGGAGGAGCTTGGACGGACGGCAAGCCTTGCTGAAAGTGCTTGGTGTAGCAGACACCTCAACAGTCCTTCCTGTGACGTTTGTAGCTCTGTGCCAGAGTTCCAGAAGTAGTGAGCGGCTGTAACAACCGGTGTAGACCCACTCCATGACGCAAGCAGCTCTGTTGTCTGTGGATCTTGGCACAGCATCTTCATCAGCGTCGATTTCCCCGATCCTGGCTTCCCGGTGATCCAGTAGACGCCGTTCCCACCAACAAGCCAGTCCCGGAAGTTGCTCCGTCCGCTCTTCTTGGAGAAGATCCATTGTAATGTAACCTCAAAGGTCCGCGAAATCTTACTCTCGCGGTCACGGATCTCTCCATAGTCTAATAAATTTAACAATGATTCAGTCAACGTGTGGGCGACGGGTGATTTGTCCCAACTTGGCAGCCCTTCCCATGAGCTTTCTTCCAAACTCTGGAGTAGCTGCAAGTGGCTTGCCGTAACCGCCTTCACAAGATTCTCCTGGAGCTGCTCCATGTGCTTTTGCTGGGCTCTGGCCCATTCTTGAATCGTCTTAGTATCGTCGCCGGATAATGTCCAGAATTGGCTCTGTTTCTGGGAAATACTGGCCATATCAAGCTGCATATTGATGAGAATGGCGTCTGTGAGCCTTCCCTTCAAGCTAGCCAGACGGGATCCAAGGGCCATGATGCTCTTCCGTTTCCATAATGCCGTGATCACACCACGCGCGGCATCGAATGATCCAGGCTGGTCGCGGACAGAGACCTTGTCGACTGCCTCTAGCAAGCTGGCTGCCACGGCGCCGGATTCGGTACATAAGCGGAGTATCTCCTGTTCCAGTTCGGTCAACCGCCGACTAGTCTGCTTTTCCCTCAGAGCTTCGGCGAGCCTCCTATTTAGCATTTCGGTTCCCATTGCTTGTTGCCGCAGGATGCTGAATTCTTGGACATCGGCGCCGACATTATCGCGCAGCCGCTTAACCTCCATGAAAAATCGGGCGCTAAAATCAACAATCTGCACCGCATTGCTGGCAACACTCAGTATTGACAGAGGATCCATGATCAGGGATGCCGTTTGGGGTCCTTGCCAGGTGTCGACGACGACAGAGGGGATGCGATGGTTGAAGTTGGTTCAGGTCAGGCTGGAGCAAGGTGGCATGCGACCCAATGCGTGAGGTGTGCTCAGCCCTTGGGGCTAATGCTGCAAGGCGTCCGCCAAGACCAAGACGAGCCCAGTATGCATCTCTTGGATATTCAGTCCGAGAATCATGGTGCGGCGACTGCGTTCATTTTCCTAACGCATGCACGATATATTTGAGCTTTCTTGTCCTAGGTGGATTTAAGCTCGATAGACCCTGAGGTGTTGAAGAACACATCAACCAAGACCCTTGTAAAAGCGAGCAGCCTATAGTGAAGCTAGGTTCAAAAATTAACCACCTCTAGGCAACCATTTCTCATTACGGAGGGCCAAATATCGGCACAGGAGCTTCTAGTCAAATGAGCCGAATCTGCAATTCAACTACCGTAGCTTAAAAAAAGAAGAAGATGGGTGTATCGCCTTGCCAAATGCTGTTGTGAATTATGACGAGAGTGTCTATTCAAATTGACCCTTGACGATGATCATACTCTACAAAAGCCACATCCCTGTGAGAATCCCCTCATCACTTGAAGCATTACAACTACACGTTACGATCCAAGGACAATTTGTGGTCATCTGCTCTATTAGGGCAATTATGCAACCGCTACGTTAGTTCTCTCTATATGTTTCCAGCCGGGATGTCTTATAGGCATCTTCGCTGCGGAAAGACTTATCGATATTTGCGTTGATGCGATACTCGACGAAGATCCACCATCGTTTTTCTCGGTCTCTTGTCCGTTTCTTAGAAGCCAATATCTCGTCTGGCTCATGTTAGAAAAGCCATCTCGAGGATATTGAGGAACAGTGACCTAGCGACTCACTACGCGAAACCTTGCTCTCATATCGACTGAGATAACCAGTGCCCAGCCGCATGAAGCTCAAATCACCACCACAGTTATCGTCAGATGCAGGAAAGCAGACATCGAAGCGGCCCATGTCTTCCTCCCAGATATGGAACTCTCGTGTCAGAGCCGTATGTTGGTATGCCCGCCCGTATGTCAGCTCGATCGTGCCGAAGGTCTTGACGATCCCCTTATGGGTCATGATGAGGATGGCATTGTCAAAGTTGATATCTACAGTGCCATAACCGAGGTTGAAGATTCTCTCTAGTGATATCAGAGGCCCGACGGTGTTGCCCGGGTCTATGTAGGCGATAATGTCCTGCCAAACCCTTCCGTGGGACCGCGTCCGCATGATCCAGTGCAGTTCGCGGTCAGATATGGGAATGCTTATTGACTAAGAAAGAAATTAGATGGGAGCATGGCCCGCGAGTTGAAGCCTCCAGACCTTTGCATCCTCCTCGAGTGCCTTCTCATTGCCTCCAAAATCATCGTTGGGAGCAGACGGCCCTTGGATTGGCGATCTTATCTCAGGCGAGGCCAATGGATTCTCCTGCGACGCATTCCTTTGCCGATGGCCGAAGAAGTTTCGGAATTTCATTTTGGGCAATAATCGCTTGATAGTATCTCATCCGCATCCAGCGAATGCCCCTCGCTTCTTCATGTCTTCTCTCTGGTCGAATCGTAATCTAATTATATGCGCATCTATCGGCAGATGCAATCACTGCAACTGGCACGGCCAATGCGATCGAGGCCCGATGTATGGTTAAATGCATTCGTTTGTGGAAAGATCTTCAAAAATTTCGAATCTTTAGGACTTCCTCGAAGTCAAACGAGTGCGAGGTGTTATGAGTGAAATCGCTTCGGCTTCGTCTTCTAGAGTGCCTCGTAGTGGCTGTGTTGGACGCTAGTGCAGCTGGAATAGCTCCGAATCTGGAGCCGCCCTGCCCGCCGTGGGATTCAATTGGTACGCAAGGCACAATTACAAGGCTCACAACGGTCCCACGTGCTCATGATGCTGGAGCGGCTCGCCTGTCGCGTTACTTGAAGTTGCTCGGCCCAAGGGATTGCACTCGAAGGGCCAGCCGTTTAATCCAGGAACTTTCGTGCAACAAAGTTTGTATGCAGACCGAGCCTAGAGATGCCAGTCATTGAAACATGGTCCGACATGTTCGACTGTGGTTGCTTTCAACAGCGAGAAACGCTTTGCTGCCGTCTATTTCCCAGCGTTGATGATTGACTATGCCTTTCAATCAATGCCGCCATGCGTGGTTTCGAATGCATTCGAGTCGCCGCTGACACATAAGGTGAAGTGTCTCAGGACCTACCCAACCTTGTAGCCAATTGAAGAGGCTTTAATCATCATGGAGGGGGCCAATGACAATGGAAACTGCGCTCAGAATCTGAACCACAAAGTCGAGAACCAATGCCTTCAAGCGATGCCCATCTTTAAGCTTGGGTCTAAATTTGTTGAGTGATCCGTGAGTAGTAAAGTATCATGATTCAGTAGACTCATGAAATCCTTAATTCGTGACATCATCACAACATATTTTCGTGCAGCAGACTTCTACTCAGTGCACAGGAACATGACGATCTTATGTGTTAAATTCCATCGATCTGGCTGTGGTTGAATAGCGGGTAGCCTCTTACTGGGGGTATTTCTCTGATGACTTGCATAGCCTGCGTAATACGCGTATTGGTAAGGGCCTGCAGCGTAGGGCGACCAATGAAGCATCATTGGTCTTTTCCAGTAGGCTCTAGCGTCAATCCGGATCAGAGACAGCTTCTACGCGTACTTAATCCCCCCTGCAACGCCTAGCTTTGCACCATGGTGAACCCTGACTCGAGCAGCCAGCGACAAGGGCCTTAGCACCAATCGCTGCTGTTTCCGAGTAATACCTTCACGAAGAAACATTCTAGCGTGGTATTTGCATTATGGAACGAGCCGATGATTTTGGCTATGGCGCTGCTTATCGGCAGATTTAATGTAATAGGGATAGACCATGCTTTAGACTCATGGGCCTATTCAATGTCTCATGCGTCAGGGGTTGAAGATCATGGTACTTCTGTATCTTGGCTCAGCTCTTCGGGAGGTAAAACTCACGACCTCCCCTCTTGTCCCAGTTGCCGTTCAGACGATAGATTTGCTCCAAAATCTTTGGAGGATAAAGCAGGCTTTCTGCCATGAAGTCACGCTATTCTGCCCAGGGAGGAGGGGCTGCACCTAGTGAATATGGTGAAGATACCCTACCAGCCTATCAGCCGTTGGTGACGGACGGCTTCCTGCAGGAGAGGACTGGGGTTCGTGGTAGGTACGCGGGAAAATAAGTCGTAGAATTGGGGCTGTAAGCTAATGATTGATGATTGAATTAATAGACGACGGACGGGTAGACGTGAGAGTTGACTCTCGATTCTGCGAGGCCTTATCCCAGCTCGTACCCGATGCCGAGTCCGCTTTTCCCTCTGCGGATGCTCAACCGCCACGATACTCTCAGTTATTTATTCCTCCGCCTCCGACAAGTGACGATACCAGGCACTTATTTCCGGTCAAGTTGAACATCGTGATTCAGGTGGTTGGGAGTCGAGGGGATGTACAGCCTTTTATCGCTCTCGGCAACGAGCTGCAGAAGCACGGCCATCGAGTAAGGATAGCAACACACGATGTATTCGTCTCCTTCGTCCGCGACTCTGGACTGGAGTTCTTCCCCATCGGTGGAAATCCGTCCGAGTTGATGGCATATATGGTACGAAACCCGGGCCTTATCCCCGGCCTCGAAAGCCTACGAGGAGGTGACATGCAGAGAAAACGCACAATGATGGCAGAGATGCTGCACGGGTGTTGGAGCTCATGCATCGAGCCTGATCACCATTCTGGCGTTCCTTTCGTTGCAGACGCCATAATTGCGAATCCACCAAGCTTCGCTCACGTACATTGCGCTCAGGCGCTAAGCATTCCACTTCACTTGATGTTCACCATGCCTTGGAGCAGCACCAAGGCGTTTCCTCATCCCTTGGCAAACTTGCAGTTTGGCCAAAGGACAGGCGTGGACGAGGCTAGGGCAAATTACGTGTCATATATGGCCGTGGAATGGCTAACATGGCAAGGGTTAGTTCGACCACTCCTTACATGCGAATGGCGTTGACTATTTCTCAGTCTTGGCGATGTGGTAAATCGTTTCCGGAGAGGTCTTGATCTCGAGGAGGTTCCCTTGTCAGAGGGACCACTACTAGCTGAAACGCTCAAGATACCATTCACGTATTGCTGGTCTCCTGCTCTAGTTCCTAAGCCGTTTGACTGGCCTCCTCATATAGGTACGTCATCAGCCGGCCAGCGCTGTTGAGAACGTGCTTTAATTAACACCTCAAAGACGTCTGCGGGTTCTTCTTCCGCGACCCGCCCAGTTACAATCCCCCTATCGAGCTGAGCGACTTTCTCGGCAAGGACAAGGGCTCGGCACCAATCTACATAGGGTTTGGCAGCATCGTCGTCGATAATGCCGAGAAAATGACGAGGATGATACTCGACGCTGTGCGAGCGACAGGTGTTCGAGCATTGGTCTCAAAGGGGTGGAGCAATCTCGGCGGCATAGAGGATGACAATGTTCTCTATATCGGCGACTGCCCTCATGAGTGGCTGTTCTCGAGGGTGGCGGCAGTGATACATCACGGTGGAGCAGGCACCACGGCGTGCGGCTTGCTCAACGGGAAACCGACAGCCATTGTGCCTTTTTTTGGAGAGCAAGTGCACATCATCTTCTCATCTACATGACTGATGTCTAACAACGTAATAGCCAACCCTTTTGGGGCAAGATGGTGGCGGCTGCTGGGGCTGGCCCCAGGCCAATTCCACAACAGCACCTGACAGCCGACAGGCTGGCGGAAGCCATATGCTTTTGTCTCACGCCATCGGCAAATATAGCTGCAAACGCAATAGCCACGTACATGCGCTCGGAAAACGGCGTGAAAAGTGCAGTGCGGTCGTTTCACGCTAATCTGCCGCTGGAGATGTTGCAGTGCGATATCTTGAGGGACAGATCAGCCGCGTTTTCATGGAAAAGAGGGGATACAGAGCTCAAGTTGTCTAAGCTGGCCACTGGTGTGTTGCTCGAGCACCTCAAAGTTGACTACAAGAAGCTAGGGCTGTAAGTCAGATCAGGATGCTAGACTGGCTCCCACCTCTTGGATCAGGCTCTAATTAGGATGATCTAGGCACGAAACTCGGGAAATATTCATCGACAACCGCCGATGGGATCCCGTCACGAGTACTACTTCCGCCGCGCTTGGCGTTGGCACTGACATGATGGCCGCCACCACGGGCATATTTACTCGACCCGTTCAGGAATACCAGCGTCAACGCCAACTCCAGTCGATCTCCTCCGATCTATCGCCTGAGCCCTCTAGACTGTCTCGACCGTCAAGCGGGTCATCCCACGGCCAATCCCGGTCCCACTCTCCCACCCCAAGCAACCATAGCGGGATGAAGGTTGCAGGCAAAATGGCACTGGCATCTGCTTCAGGCGTTGGGGACTTCTTCAAGGCACATGGGAGGGGCTTCCTCCTGAACATACCGCTAGCAACGACGGAAGGGCTGCGAAATATGCCGAGGCTCTATGGGGAGCACGTGCCGGAGAACGAGCGAATCAAGGACTGGAAGTCCGGGGCCATTGTGGGTGGGAAGAACTTTGTCACCGGGATGGCTGGCGGCATGACGGACTTGTTCGTGCAGCCGTACCTCGGGGCGAAGGAAGACGGAGTTGCTGGAGCAGCAAAGGGGTTGGCCAAGGGCATGGCTGGCGTAGCAACCAAGACACTGTCAGGTGAGAATCGCCCTCATCTTTCATTTTGGACATTACACGCCTTGCTAACAGTGCATGCCGTCTAGGCGCGCTCGGTGCAGTGGCGTATCCTGGACAGGGGATATATCAGAGCATCAGGAGTGCGGTGAAATCCAAAACCCGCCAGAGCATCATGAAAGCGCGACTCATCGAAAGCGAGTATCTTGCAAGCAATTTGGACTCTGGACAGGCCACACACATGATATTGGATACGTTCGACTATCTGAGACAACGCCATATGCAGGACTCTATTCTGGAGTCGTATTGACCGGCCGCGCGTTCGTGATGAAGATGGCATCTCATCTCAGATCCATCTAGTAGGGGATTCACAATGTATCAATTACCGCTTGGGCGTTCGTGGCTGTCATCTGGTCTCAGATGTGGACTAGTCGGGTTAATTTCCTCTTGTGGCTTGATGCTGTGTAAGCATGACATGACGAGTGTGAGGCTCTTCGCAGACCAGGGCACATTACCGACATAAGCTTCTCATTGAATCGGGAGAGAGGAGAGATACCTCAGAAGGAATCATGCTTCCTTACCCGGAAGCCGGTAGTCTCTCCGCCAAGTACTGGGCTCGAGATCTTGCAGATATGATGAAGCCATGGCGGTCGGCCGACACTCTGTCAGCATTACGTGTCAGCTGATGGTCTCGCCGTCGACGAGGTTCACTTGCACAGACTGCGGGGTTCGTCTCAGTGTACATGTAGTAATTGGTATATGTCTAATGCAGGGAAGGTCACCAAAGCCAGCGCAAGAGCGTACGAGTTGCGATGTCCGTCTAGAGCATGTAGGATTCTGGCCACAGCGTATCCGATCCCAATCCCCAAGGTATGGAGCCGATGAGATCTGACCTGAAATATCACCAAGTGTGCGAATTATGGGCGGCATCAGTCACAAGCCAGCCAGTTTACGTGTCTCACCTTGCTGTGCCTTTGGGCAGCGATGGGAATCACTGGTGCGCTCCTGTCATGTTCCTGTCAGCATTAACGAGATCCTGCCGCCCATTCCCTGCCCTGCGTTTCGCCCAAGCTAACCAATGAGGCTGTCGAACTGACTTGATAGTGTTCAGCAATGCGGCCGCTTGAGACCAGGGCTCAGCAGGGGTATGTTTCCCTACACTACATACAGTGCCATTGCGTTGGGCCCCACATGCATGTGAGCGGCGTGAGGTTCAGCATTGGGGGAATTCGGCGGAATTGAACGTACGTATGTATGTGCGGGCGGCGTGGGAAAAGCAATTGGGGGCGGGCGATATTTAGCTTCTAGGTCCGTATTCTAGCCCGGGCCGCCGCCTTTCTTGCCTCGCACATGTACATACAGTACAATACAATACAACACAATACAATACAACAATTACCGTGCAGGCAGAAGCCGCCCGCCCTCACATGCTCACGTCTTCACATTCTTGTCACCGCCTCAGCCTTTTTGAAGATTTCATTTCATTTCCACGAGCCCTGCGGCAGCATCACCAAGCGGCAAGAAAGAGGCATCCAGTCTCACTTCCACCTCACGATGGCAAACGCAAACCAGCGACCATTCCGTGTCGTCATTTCTGGCGGCGGCATCGCGGGCCTCACGCTTGCCAACGCGCTCGAGGTATAGCAACTTAACTTGTCCATCGCTGTCTCCTTTCATCCCTTTGACGCATCGACATGCCCTCCAAATTCAGCTGAAGTAGCCATCGTCTGCAACGAGTCAATCACTGATGCCTCTGTAGCAAGCCGACATCGACTATGTCCTCCTGGAGAGCCGCCCAGAGATAGCTCCTCAACTCGGCGCATCAGTGGGCATCTTCAGCCACGGCTGTCGTGTGAGCGGCGCATCTCTCAAGCCCGCCGTGGACCGTCGCTAATAGGTGAACCTGTGCCAGATTCTAGATCAATTAGGCGCGCTAAAGAGGGTCAATGAAGAAATGGTAATTACGTGTGGGCTCGGTGGCAGAGCTGTGCACTGCTAAAAACGAGTAGGCATACATTAGGGTGCTCCGCAGCAGCGATGCCAAAGGACGGCCGATTTCTGGTCCTGACAACGGCGACAAACTTACAAAGGCGAGGTGAGCGGCCAATCTCGTAAAGAGTTGATGTTGTCTCCAAGCTAACCTCTTCCTAGAACGGGATACGTCGTGCCTTGGGGAGACCGGGAAATCCTCCTGCGGGTGCTCTATGAGAATCTGCAGGACAGAAGTAAAGTATTAGTCAACAAGAAAGTAGTCGATGTCGAGCACAGCTCCGATGGAGTAAAGGTCTCTTGTCAGGACGGATCTGCCTACGAAGGCGACGTTTTAGCCGGGGCAGACGGAGTGTTTAGCAAGACACGGGAAAAGCTATGGCAATTGGCGGAGACCGAGCACCCAGCCTTAGTCCGGGCGGACCGTAATGGTAAGCCAATCTCAGTCGTGGCTTGAGACGTCGTCTCTGTATCCACTAACCTTCTGTAGCTCTGACGGCTGATTACAATGTTCTCTTTGGCATCTCTACACTCAAGTCTGAGCTAGTGGAAGGCGATATGGACACTGCGTACGACTCCGGTCGGTGCATGGCAACAATCAGGGGCCAGGGAGGGAAGACGTACTTCTTTGCCGAAGAAAAGCTCGACAGAACATACACACTGACTACGATTCCACGTTACGATGCCGGAGCAGCTGAAGATTTCGTCCGAAGACATGGGGATCTTGCGGTTCGCCCAGGTATCACACTGGCTGAGCTCTGGGGAACGACCACTTCCCGACAACTAGTATCCACTGAAGAGGGTGCATTCCAATTATGGACTTGGGGCCGCATTGCATGTCTGGGTGACAGTATCCACAAGATGACTCCTAACCTGGGAGCCGGGGCCAATTCCGCGATTGAGAGCGCAGCAGCCCTCGCCAATGAACTCAAGAGCCTTGTCGACAAGAGCCAGGGCGCGGTCCCCTCAGGGAGCGAGGTTCAGCTTGCTCTAGTGAGATACCAGCAGCGGCGAGAATTGAGGGCTAAATGCATTGTAGATGCGTCTAGGATTTGTACCCGTACTCACACCCTCAATGGACTTGCCGAACGCTTGTTCGTCAAGTTTGCTTTACCACACTCCAGTGACCTCATCAGCGAGATGGCCAGCGACATGGTTGTTGGGTCGGCGAAGATCGACTATCTACCTATACCGAGAGTGAGCTTGACAGGCACGAGACCGTTCAATCCCTCTTTCGGTGTCGGTATGAAAGAGAGCAAACTCAAGCGTGCACTGCTTGCGCTTCCTCTCTTGGCGCTCGTCTACGTTGCGAGCGCCACGATGGATGCCACGATCTCTCTCCCCTGGGCAGAAGAACAGGTTAAAAATGGCACGGTTGTGTTTGACGGCAACCCCATTCCACTGCGTCTCTCCTTTTACCACATCAAGGGCCTTGATTATCTGTGAGTCTTCTGTTCTTTTTTCATGTATGTCATTTGAAGCACGGACTGACTCCTTTCAGTGCATCACTCCTGAATTCCTACTTTCTGCCGGCAATCTACGACTACGATTCTGTCTCTCGAAGACAGCTCATGTCCTTCCTTAGTGATGGTGTGGTAATGCTGAATGTGTGGATGTTTGAATCCGTTCGTAGGGCAAATGCCATTACAATCTTACAGTAGTAGGTTATACGGTCACGTTCAGACTGCCAACATAGCTAACAACTCTCAGCCCCGTGATATTCACATTTCTAGGCCAGGGCATAGGCATGGGCGTAGTGGCTCCGCTGTACTACTTCCTCCACTACGTCTTGTCGCCGATTGAAAAGTTCAGCTCGACAGACCACCGACTCACACGATTGAATTATTCCATCGCGGTGCTCCCTGCTGTCCTGGGTGCATTCTTCCTCCCACTTTGTGGCGCTTTCCTATGGCCCAACCTCGTCGAACGTCAGTCTTGGCTCTTCATATGGCAACTCTATCCCACATTGCTGTCGATTTACTTGTTTGCCATATCCAAACTATTCCCGGAAACGGTCGACGTTGACAAGTACGACGCGCCGAAACGAGATTTACCAATCATACGACTATATATGGGCTTGTCCATTGTACTTGTGTCGAGCGTTTGGATCTGGTCGTGGGCGACCGGGCCGTACAGCATGATGACGATCTACTGGCCTACCGCAATACCAAAGACGACCACGAATTTCGTAGATTTCATCCGCGATTTTCTGCGGTACGACCAGGTCTTTGCCTTTGGGCCAGGACTCCTATGGCTGCTCTACCTGTTCGGAGACCTCAAACACGCTGGCATGATGACGGCCGGCTGGGCTCGCATCCTGCTTTCAGGATTGGTGACGATCGTGGTGCTCGGCCCGGGCGCAACGCTCGGCATTGGCTGGCTGTGGAGGGAACAGATCCTTGCGGAGAAGCGTCATAAGACTGCTCTTACTGAAGAAAGCGTGGGGAGGCTCCACGGCGTTTTCGGGAAGAAGACGATCTAGACAAGATAAAGGGTGTAGCTCATGTTTCATAGATACAACAAAATGAACAAATAGAGTTGCCCACCGACCATTTAGGATGAGGCATCGGCGGATAGAGGCTAGTTACAATGCAATTTATTGCTGTTCTACTATCTTTATTCAATGGTCATTGTCAATAGTATCTGGTTCGTTTTTTCTCTGAAGGCTGCCTTCTCTCGGTTGTTTGGAACTCCTGTCATTAAAGCAACATCCCACGTCAAGACACAAACTCTTTTGTTTCACACACAAATAGAATATGCAGTTACCAGAGATTCATGACTGTTGGTATTTCGGAGCGGGCGAGACGACGTTCCGTCAAATGGTCTCCCAGGCATCTGATAGGTCGTTGGTGTCATCGTCAGCATTATGCTTCCCTCCTCAGTTGTAGTGTCGAAACTCCAATTTTTGTGGCGTTTGGAAGCTGAGCCGCCTCCAGTCAAGCAACTGAGAAGCCGACGCCACCGTTACGATGTCTTCCAGATCGGGCCAACTCCGCGACATGTCTCTAGATCTGGATCGTTACACAAGCAAACCTCAATCCTTCAACTCGAATATGTTGTTACAAATAGCCTATCCGGACTCGACTCAACGGCGGTTGGCACTATTGGGATCTTCAAATGTTAGATGATGGGTGCTTCTACTTCAGATCTCGGTTATCGTTGGCTCCCAAACAACAGCTAAAATTGGCGATGTGGGCCGGCCCCTTAACCCGGCAATGATTGTCATTCAGCTGTAGGCTATTCGGGATCATTTTCGACAAGTAGGTAGCTGAGCCATTGAGGTGCGACTTTTTGCGGCGTAGTGCCAACCCCGCCCACGGGGGCTCCGAAATCATGAAGCGTGTCTGTTATCTATATACCGTCTATCCGGGGAAGTTCAGTCGGAAATCTGGGGTTCCCCTTTGAACTATTACGACTTCTAGGTCTTGCTCAAAGCCCAATATGCCTGGCTTATACTCAGACACGGACAATAGCACGCCTAAGATCAACGGGTATGGTAAGAACGAGACCCCAGTGTATGGGCAGAGACTACCCCTCCGCATAATAGACGAAAGAGCACAGAAGGAGCCTGGTCGTGAATGGCTTTCGATCCCGCGCACCTCGGAACCAGCAGATGGATGGGAAAAGATCACATATAGACAGGCTGCTAAAGCTATCAACCGAATCGCACACAGGATCACTGCAGTGGCAGGCGCGGCAGACCCGGGGGAGTTCCCTACGATTGCTTATATTGGACTCAATGACTCTCGATATCTCGCTTTCATGTACGGCGCCGTCAAGGCGGGATACAAGGTAGATTACACACCTTGAGTTGTCTTGCGCCCAACATTAAATGCTTTTGCTCGATAGGCGCTCTTCGTATCTCCCCGCAATTCGGTTGAAGGCCAACTACGGCTCTTCCAGGCCACAGACTGCCACGCCGTCGCCTGTTCTGCAGAATTCGAAACGGTTGTTCAGTCGTGGGTTGGACATCGGCCCATGACGAGCTTCGTTCTCTCTCCTGAGAGAGAACTACTGGCCGACACCGCTGATGTTATACATATTCGCTACGAGAAAGAGTTCGCTGAGGCCCAATGGGATCCGTTCGTTGTGCTTCACAGCAGTGGAAGCTCCGGATTTCCAAAACCTATCGTATTGAAGAATGGAAATATGGCCACAGCTGATGGTATGCGCACTGTACCGCTGAAGTATGGTACGCTTCCGTGGGCTGCCGAAATGGCTTCTCGCGGATCCCGGCTGCTGACTCCTAGTAAGTTGTTTTTCCTCGAATATACGAATCGAACTGACTCATTTGTTCCAGTGCCGCTTTTTCACATTGCTGGTCTCTATGTCGCGACGTTCTACAGCACTTTCTACCAGGCCGAGCAGTCTCTCTCATTGGGAATTGGGACTCGGCCGATCACTGCAGACCTCATGAATCAATGCCTGAAGCATTCAGGAGCTGACGCCGTCTTTATGCCTCCATCAATTGTGGATGATATGGCGCTGGTTCCAGAATACATTGAGACCCTCAAGGGGTTGAAATATGTGGCATGGGGTGGTGGTATGTTTCCCTCCCAAATCAACAATTCAGGTGGTCACGCAAGACTCACCATGCTTTAGGTTCGCTTACGCCTACAGGCGGAGACACGCTGGTGAAGAACAACATTACACTGTGCAATCTTACATCTTCTACAGAGTATGCCTTTACCCCCTTGCTCCTAGAGGGGTCCGCCAGACCCAACTAACACAGCACAGGGCTGGTCCATACCCCTTTCATTTCCAACCGAACTCAGAAAACTGGCGATATTTCATCTTTGACAAAGACTACGGCGGAAACGACTTTCGAAGGCTTCCTGGGGACGAAGATATCTATAAGCACTTCTTCAAGCGTCAAGCCAAGCATCCAGGACTCCAGGGCATTTTCTGGACGTTTCCGGATATCGATGAATTTGATACCCAGGATCTCTACCGTCCGCACCCGACGCTTGAGGACCATTGGCTATTCTACGGGCGAGCCGATAGTATTATCGTCTTCTCAAACGGCGAGAAGTTGAATCCTGTCACAATCGAGGCTGTCGTGCTTTCCCATCCACAAATCAAGGGCACGCTGGTGGTAGGCAGCAACCGACGTGAGCCGGCCCTTATCCTCGAGCCGGTCACACCGCCCAAAGACGCAAAGGAAGCGAAGGAGCTCATTCAAAGCGTCTGGCCACTGGTTCAAGAGGCCAACCGTGATACTGTAGCGCACGGACACATCCAACATGACATGATAATGCTTTCTGTTCCTGACAAGCCGTTTCCGCGTGCAGGGAAGGGGACAATCCAACGACCCGTGGCCGTGCAGCTCTATGAGAAGGAAATATCCGAGGTGTATGACAATGCGCATCGCGAGCAGGAGGACGTGCCGGTCGTTGACATCTCATCCGAGCCTGCACTTCGACAGTCGATAGAAGAACTTCTCAAGTCGAAGCTTGATGTGCCCATGTTGGATCAGGACACCGATTTCTTTACCATGGGAATGGACTCGCTACAGGTCATTGTCATTTGTCGCCTTCTTACTGCTGGCCTGAAAGCCGCGGGTGTCGACGTGGGCGGTGCTTTGGCACCACGGGCCATCTACTCGAATCCGAGTCTTGGACGTCTCTCAGACTATATCTTCAAGCTCATTGAATCAACGGGGTCTCATCAGGAAGCGATGAATGGAGATGCGACGTCCGAGATGAAAGAGCTCGTCGACAAATATATCAAGGGGTTGCCCACCAAGACGATAAGCAAGCCGGGACCTCGCGTTGAGCGGCAGACAGTCATCATCACCGGGAGTACAGGCGCATTGGGCTCGTACTTGCTCGACCTACTGATCTCATCCGACAAGATTGAGAAAATCATCTGTCTCAATCGGGCCCAGGACGGAGGAAGAACGCAGCAAATCCAAGCGTGCGCCGAACGTCGTTTAACCACCGACTTCACCAAGTGCGAATTTTTCCATGCCGACCTGTTACGTCCAGACCTTGGACTTGGGGCGGCAGACTACGACCGAATATCCAATGCTGTCGATCGGATCATCCACAATGCATGGCCTGTCAACTTCAACATGCCTCTGTCGTCGTTCGAGCCATCCATCCGAGGTGTGCGCCACTTGGTGGACCTCAGCATTAATGCGCCGCAACAAGTCCCCATCGTATTCATCTCGAGCATCAGCACAGTTGATGGGTGGACAGATGGCAACGTGCCTGAGTTGTCTGTTCAAGATCTAGGTGTAGCCGCGATGGGATATGGCCAGTCCAAGCACGTATCGAGCCTCATTCTCGATGAGGCGGCCAACGTCTCCGGCGTCTCGGCTGCGAGCATCCGAGTTGGGCAGATCGCCGGACCACGAGGCCAGGCTGGTGCGTGGAACAAGCAGGAATGGTTTCCGTCGATAATCGCCTCTTCTCTCCATCTCGGAGCTATTCCGACAGATCTAGGACGGTTATCGACTGTAGACTGGGTGCCAATTGAAGACGTTGCACAAATGGTCGTCGAAGTCAGCCAACAGCGGAACGAGGATATCAGTGGTTATTTCCACTGCGTCAACCCGGCCATGACAACCTGGGAAGAACTTGTCCCCGCGGTCAAGAGTTTCTATGGTTCTCGAATCACCCAACTGGTCACGTTCAAGGAATGGGTCGAGCTCTTGAAGAAGAGTGCCGGTGTGACCAAGGACATACAGAGAAATCCCGGCATCAAGCTGCTTGATTCATATGAGGCACAAGCAAACGCTGCCGGCATCAAGCAGGTCTTACTGGACATGGAGAGAACGAAGAGACATGTTACCGGGGCGAGAGAGCTGGATGCCATCACCCCTGAGCTAGTTCAGAACTGGTGTAGACAGTGGGATTTCTGAAGAGGCACAGCAATCCTACTTGCAGGTCCAAATGTATCATGTCCTGGAGTAATTAAGAGCTGAACGACTTGACTTTTACATTGCCTAGAGACTATTCACCTCAAGTTCAAGACGAAGTCTAGCCAGAAAGACCACAGTCTCTGAAGCAATCTATTGCATTGAATGTCAAGTTATCACAGCCCTGGTAGACAAATATTACGAGCACTAAGATGAGATCATCACAGGTGACGTGGGCGATCCACCCCGGCAAAAGCCCCTGGTCGTCCAGGAACGGCAGCGCTAAACACGGGGACGGGGGGTTTCCTGCAGATTGTGGGGATGCAGCAAAGGCCAATGACGCCATGGACTGCCAGCCAGCCGCCCAACAGGCTCACGCTCTCACAAACTCAGCTGGAGCTTGTCTCTTCACTCTCCACAAAAAGGAAGAGGACCCGTCAAGGTCAATGCTGCTATGCAACTCTAATCCTGGCTTTTGACAGGGCGATCGACGTCTTTTCTTAATTAAGCAAGCTTTAGCTGCCGTTATGATGTACCGGTATTCTATAATTCCGTACAAATGCCCCGAGGGCCGCTCAGCTTCGTTGAGTCGTTGCGGCTTAGGTGTTGTCTCTACTGTCTCTTCACCTTCGTCGGCGTTGGAGTCTCTCTTGACTTCGCCATCCTGTCGTTAACATCACGATGCGTCTCCTAACGAGATCGTTCGTTCTAGCCCTGCCAGTGGCTTCTGCCCAGGGGCTCTACTCGACCTACTCCTTCAATCCTCTCGAGCATCTCGGCGGCGTCGCGCCCTACTTCGAGCCCAACGATCCACCGACCGACCCGTCGCCTCCGCAAGGATGCACTCCTGAGCGCGCCGCCTACCTCGTGCGTCACGCGGCGATCTATGCGAACGACTTCGACTACGAGGAGTACATGGAACCGTTCATAAGCAAGTGGCAAAATCACACGAGCATAGATTGGTCGAAGATACCGGCCCTCAGCTTCCTCGACTCATGGACACCGCCGCTGTCCGAGGCTGAGCAGGAGCTGCTTACTCGAGTGGGCAAGCTGGAGGCAACGCAATTGGGTGTAAGCCTGAGCTTCAAATACCCGGGCTTCAAGCTGCCCAAGAAGGTGTGGACGAGCTCCGCAGAGAGGACATTCGAGAGCGCGAAGGCTCTGGTCCGAGGCTTTGAGATGGACGACGACACGATCAGTGTGGTGTCGATCTACGAGTCGGAAGAGGGCGGCGCCGATACGCTCACGCCGTACGACAGCTGCCCGAAATATTCGTCGTCTGCCGGCAGTGATCAAGCGGCTGTCTATCTGGAGAAATTCACAAAGCCGATCATTGCTCGCCTTACTGATGCTGCGCCCGACTTCAACTTCACAGCCCAGGATATCTACGGCATGATGGAGCTTTGTGGGTACGAGTCGGTCATCCGGGGCAAGTCGCCTTTCTGCGATCTCGACTTGTTCACCCCGGACGACTGGCTGGGATGGGAGTATACGGCTGATGTAATGTACCACTACAATGTTGGCTACGGAAACGAAGTCACTGGTGTCATTGGACTGCCGTGGCTCAATGCCACTGCCGGTCTCCTAATGGCAGACATGGGAAGTGAGCATGTCCAGGATCTGTATGTAAGCTTTACGCACCGAGAGCTGCCGCCAACAGTGCTCGTAGCCATGGGTCTATTCAACAACTCTGCTTTTGGAGGCTCAGAGGCCAGCATCAACGCTACAATGCCTGAGGACAGAATCAATCACCGCCGAGCATGGAAGAGCTCCCACATCATCCCATTCATGACCAACATTGCTATCGAGAGGCTGAATTGCACGGGAAGCTTCGGCTTTGAGGATGGCGACTATTACCGGGTACTAGTAAATAACGCCCCCCAGCCAATGCCCGACTGTGGCGATGGCCCGGGAACAACTTGTTCGAGACAGGGTTTCGAGACCTATCTTCAAGACAGATCTGCTATGTTTAGCGGCTATTCAGAGAAGTGTGGTACAGACTACGATAATACGACAGACGTGTTGACCATTTATTCCGACCCCAAGGCTGGAAATGGAACTACAGTGGGAAAGAGATTACTGTGGGAATAATAAGACTATGTAAGATACACTAATTACATGAATAAATCTATATGATAAGGTTCCTTTAAAATCATGCCCAAAGCCAGAACGTTAAGAGTATGACTACAAGTTAAAGTGAGACTAGACAATGATATCAAGTCTATTGTGAAGACTATAGCCTTAGTTTGAAGGAACCAGAAACTCTTGCTATCAAAGAAATAAGTTTTAAAAACATTTCCAATCATTCAAAAAGGAATTTTGCTAGAGAATCTATTTCAGTAGAGTTTGGCAGGTTATACTAAGTGTTACAAACTTGGCGCCATTTGACTGGAGCGTACGCCGTGATGAGCCTGGCACAATCCCCGGCCTTGCAGCATGTCACACAATTGACGTCAGTCAGCAGGTGTGCATGCTGAGGGGTAAACAACACAACAGGACTTTTTAACACCAGAGATACACCAAACTCTACCGTGGACACTTGATGCCCAAGTGACAAGCATGACCATGTCGAACAATACCAGCAGTGAAAGAGCTACCTTCCTTCCCGAAGGCACACCGGCCTTCCTAACTGACAACCCCTTCATATTGCCTAAAAATCGGAAATTTGCCGTCCTCGGTCTTTTGATCAATCTTCTCCTTTTGGGCGGGTGTGCATACTTGGTGTTTCGAATTCGCGTCACGAGACTACGAGGAAACACTCTAACAAGCCTTGCTACTTCCAAAACTATACTCCGAACTATTAGCTATGTTTTCACTCTGTTAGTAATTTCCTAGATAATTATAGCGCCTGGATTGATGGCTTCTAAGCTCACTACATTGCAGCGACATCTCGCTTTCTGTATATAACTACCTGCTCATGGTCTGGATCAGCACTCACCCGCCAGCAACTCCTGAAGCGTTCTGCAGAATACAAAGCCATGTACACTCAGTCAACGGCTTCTCTTTATGCTTCGTCTATGCAGGCATTGTCATGCTCGTTGCAGAAGTTGTTCCCCTGTTCTGGCAACAGACAACAATGCCAAACGTTAAAGTAACATCATTTGGCGAGATCGCGCATGTCTTTAGCTGGCATATGGCGTACGGCCTAACCATAGTCCGTATTGCTCTTTTGGCGACTCAGCAATACAACAGCATCATGCAAGGAGATTTAGACACGGCTTATCTCATCGACATGCAGAATAAGCTCACGGTTCTTGCATTCTTTGTGGGCATCTTACTCCTACTTCCCTACTGGAGACAAAATGTATGTTTATACCTCCGGTATGGGACTGCCTCCATCAGCTGATACACAACTGCAAGGGAGGCGCATGGCTGTGGGCCAACATGGGCTTTCATGTTAGTGCAGTCACTTACCGGCTCACCACCGTTGTAGAAAAGAGAGGCCGCGACGAGATGTTTCCCCACTGGACCTCGCTGTTCGTGCAGTTCTTCTATGGCTGGCTGCCTACCATCCTCGTCCTCCACATGTTTACTGCTATTCTCGGTGGCCCGCTCAAGCAGCGCCAGACGCAGACTCGGCGGCGGCGGGTGCGGAGGAAATAGGGACCTATCAATGTAGCAAGAATACCGATATGGCTGCCATCTGTAGCAAGTTCAATGGCGAAAGACCAGGCGTGTGGACGTCAATCCCCTCGTTGGGCGGATAGTAACTATGAAGATCCTCGCCTCAAATACTAACAGACGAGCACTTCTAAACAACTTATTTCATACTTTCTGGAATCACGAAAATGAAAAAGCTGGTACATCACTGCTATCGCTAGAGAGGAAAGTATAATTACTGGGTTCAGCTGCTAGGTTAGGCGTTAAACTTCGATATCAGCTTATGTATGCTATATATAGTTAGATGACAATCACGATATATAGTCTACAAGTCTATCTTGATTCGAGCTTTACAGGGCCATTCAGAATCTTCACTTTAAAGACGGAAATGACTTGGCATACCTGAACTTTGTCTCCGCAAATTGCAGCAATTCCAAAAGCAATGCGGGCAGTTCACAATATAATGAAGAATATGGATGCTCGGTCTACATTTGTGCACAGTACTCATGAAGCAGATTGCAATTTATCTTGGGACTGTATGGCTTGAGCGTGAAAAGAGACGATGATAGTTAAAATTAGAAACTATTAAAAGAGAGTAGGCCCATTATCCTTAGGCAACGACGAGTACTCAATAGGAGTCAAGATTATGAAAGCAAAGCCAGGGCCCTGGCGTAGTTCATAACCTTAAGCGTAAGATTCTCAATTAAAGTCCAGGAGACTCCCAGTGCGCAGTCTTGTCATTCTCGTCGGTGGCAGTGAGTTTTCGATCGGCCGGTCCTCCCTCTAGCCATCATTAACACCAATGTCAGCAACGAGGTAGAGTAGTGACTTACCAGTAAGATGAACGGTATCGCTTGAAAAGACAACTTCGGGTTTAGCAGCATAGAAAGTCTTGGGAGGGTGGGTTTCTCCGGATGTATAGAACACAAGGGCTTGGCTAGAAATTCCACTAAGTGGACCATGAGCCTTGCCATCGTTAGGGAGATGAGTGGCACCATCGAACCCTAAGTTGACGTAGTCAACGGCCGCATCAGCCTCGACCACAATGGTAGCGCTTTCAAAAGTGACAGCCATGATTGATGAGTTTTTTGGTGAGTAGATATCAGTGTTGAGTAATGTTGTGTTGCATTGCTCTAGGAGAAAGGGTTAAACCTCTGGTATTTATACTCGAAAAGCGAACTTGTTGAACTGTACAAAATTTGTTTCTGCTATCAATTTAGCCGATCACATACTGCAAAAACTTACGAGTAAAACTAAAATCGAACCCTTGATGGCGTTTTAGGTCACGATCATGGTCAGAGAACGTAGCTAGAGTTTCATAGCCTCTCATTTTCTTGGCCATGTAGGCTAGTATTGAGACTGTCAAAAGAGTCTATCGAGACGGAAGTTTAAAACTCATTTAGGTTCGGTGCTCAGGCGATATCATGTTCTGGATTGATATCGTCTCCTCCTGTTGTGAATGAGATTGGTCTAAACCGGATCACCTTTACATCTATTTCTCCGCGGAATAACGCCATGGACTTGCTGGGTTGAGGCTAATAAAGTATCGTATGCCGAAACATCAGTCATGGGGCACTCAAGGGTGCCCATGGTTTCTGACGAAGTTTTCTAGAGGGGATTGTGTTGTTGGCATACAAGAATTAGGTATGGGTACACTTCTAGGCAACTTGCTGTAACGGGAGGCTTTCCAGAACTAGCTAGGCCAACGTTACACAATAACCTTGTTGGATTTAGACTTCTTGTCCCGTGTTGACCGGTGCGGCTATGGTGTAAAACTTCCCGCGCTTAGTGCAACTCGGTCAATGTTCTAGAACTGAGTAGGCGGACTGGCCAATCAATCATAAGAAACACAGTCATTCTCAACGGATATGGTACCGATTCGTCGAGGTGAACTACACGGATGTCTCGGTGGATAATTTATGGTCTAGAACATTGCGGCTAACACCCAATTGGCGCGTGTCAAATCGCAGTCCCTGACCAGATCTTGCTACAAGCTCAGAGATCAGGGTTTGGCGGTATGGTCTTGTGTCAAGTCCGATATTTCAATCATATCAATGTAGAAAACTGTGTGTACGTCCCTGGGAGTTTCAAGAACCGCCTGACTATAGCACAAGGTGATTCTGGATGTGCTGGGGAGAGGTCTCCCGAACAAAGTCAACCAAAGCTCTTAGTGAGCTAAAAGGACATAAAGCTAGGACGACTAAAGAGACAACCAGAGTATCATTATTTCTTTTGTCACAAGAACCAAATAAAGCTTAATTGCGGACTTGGGGCCTGGGAAGATGTCAAAAGTCTCCACCGTCGGGAACGGCAAAACTGTATGAACATGGGGTATATAGCTATCTTACCAAGTACAAGAGAACCCCTATATTCAATTTTGGTCCTTCTGAGCCATGAGGCCTAAAGCCTATGGAGATTTTGTGTGGCTAGGTCACGTTTGGTTTGGTTGTTAAATCAAGCAGGTCTGGTGATCGTGATGGATACCTCAATAAAGCTCAGCAGCGGAACATACGTCGACATCGTTGGCGGAATTTAGATTTCGGCGTATTTGCCGTATCTAGCTGAGCTCAAGAGTAGAAGGTCAGTGGTACTAACCATACTTCTAGATACGAACACTGACAGCCTTTGCACGAGAAACTATCAGCGATGACCTGCAAATTCCAACAAGGAGACATCGTACCCTAAAGAAATCATAATGAGAGAACTTCCCAACGTTTACGCAGTTTAAGCAGATTTTTAGTCGGCCTAGAATTTAGTCTGATGCGTTTGAAGCATTGAACTTTATGATTGTAGTGGCAACGCGGCTGAGACCACCGAAACGCTAAACCTGACTCAAGGACCGGCACACCCGTTTGCGGGGAGAGCACATCGAGCCGCATGCCAGAGGCGGGAATTAATGCTGTGAAAAGCTAATATTCTTACGGCCGGCTCTAATAAATCAATACGGATTTCGTGAACTATCATTCACATCTGGCGTGGCACAAGCTGAACCCATGACTGAACTCTATTCGATAACGGTTCTGGGTCGTTTTCAGCAAACATAGTAGCAACAGTTGCACCGGTCTGGCCAGGTCTGAAAAGGAAGTCTCTTAAACTTGTTCTACTGTAGGTAGAGACAAGGGCGCTCCTGATCGCAAGTGAGGAGTGCGTTTTGACAAGGTTTCTGTGTATCTTCTTGTGAAAACACGATGCCAATAACAAACTTAAGTATGTCTGGATCATGGCATCTGATTGCAAGTACATAAAACAACCTGCTTTCCTCTGTGAGTCGCCCGAATCTTTTTGCGTACCCGTGCTCGCAACGATCTTGCATGTGACATGGAACTGATGGCTGGGCCCTGGATATCTCGGCGTCCTGTGCTTCGGGAGTTATATGTCATCGAAGTCAACCTCTTCATGATGGCCTAGAAGCAATCAACGTGGATCATAGCAAATTAATGCACATGCATCGTTATTTAGATTGTCTCTGCCTCACGATACCTTCTCGTATTACAATGATGACCTGTGAATTGAAGTGGCATGTAGTATGTTGTCTGGCTCTCGCTATCCTGGTGGGGCAGGGCCGCCCCGGTGGTCTGGAAATACCCTGTCATGCACTAAGCGATTGGCGCTGAAGAGCCGCGTTCCAGGTGGGGTTATGGGCCACGACCCCGCGCTAGGCTGTGATAGGAAAGTAAATAAACAAATGCTCGCTATCATCTTAACGCACAAGCATCTCGTGTAAGTCAGTGAGAAACGACACGTCTGTCCTCATCTTGCTCAAATGTTTATGTTCTTTCTATATTTGAGCCTCTACACCATCGAACATTTGTCGGACTATACTCTTACTCTTCCCTTCTGCGAAGATCTTTATCAAGCATAATCACGAGCTTGACGTTGCCGGCTCACTCTTCATCTTCAAGTATCAAAATGTCCGACGACTTGCCCAGTGTTGGGTTACGACGGACGCGTCGAAGCAATACTGCCCTACGCGCTGAGCTGTCTCAAGCCTCTCATCCCGAAAACAGTATGGCGACCACGGCCCGTCCATCGTGTGTCTCGTCCACATCCACACCAAGCAGAAAGACCAGAGCGAAGAAACGAGTGCGATTCTCCGACCCCGGCCCATCGAATGAACGCGTCGACAGCCCATCTTCAACCGGGCTTACGCCAATGGTAAAGCGGACGACTCTGACTCCCACCACGAAGAAACGTCGACATTCGACGCCTGCCCGGAGCAACGGCAGCGGATGCAGCGGCATCGACTCAGCAGATCCCTTCGTCACGGCAATTGACTCCCCATTCTGCGGCGAAGTGACCTTCCTACCTCTCCGACAAGTCCTCGACGGACGCGTCAAGCGCCGTATCAGGAGAAATGGGCTCAGCGAAGAGATGAATACAATCAATGCCGAGAAGAGACGGCGAGCGCAACAAACCAAAGCTGAGATCGAAGCATTGAAGGCGGAAGTGGCGGCTAAAGATGCTGAGATCCAGCGCCTGCATGATGAGACGATCGTACAGGATACAGACAGGATAGTGGAGCTCGAGCAGCGGATAGATGAGCTCCGATCAGAGCTTGCTTCGAGATCTGGAGTTCGCATTAATCGGCATGATGAGAGCACGCATATTGACTGGACGCTGGCTGCAAGAGATCCTTTCTCAGACGAGCTCATGGACCTGGACATGGATCATGATGGTGATGATGAGGATGAGTTCGGTGAGACTACCATGGCAGATATAGCGTGCAGTACGCCGACTCGCCGCGTCTCTGCCAGGAACTCCTTCCCAACACCTCCGTCGACAAGCCCGGCCCCAATGCCAATGACACCTTGCTCTCATCATATGTCCACGCCTAAGTCCAATGCGGGCGTTCAGGTCAGCATGCCGGATACGGAGAAGCAGCATCTCGAAGACGAGCTTGCATCATTACAACTGGAGGTCTGCAAGCTGACGACCACGCTGGAGACCTATTCTGCCATGACCTCCAGGATAACAGAAAAGCTCTCCCCATTTGCAACAGAAGATGATGCGATGGATGAAAACGCACTGAATACCAATTCGACAAGCGCTGCGGACTCGAAGCTTGAGACACACCTCAACACTCTCCTTCGCACACTCTCAGACCGAACCGCCGCGTTGACACACCTCAGCTTCTCCCTCAACGACCTGGGCTTCCCAGGCAACGACGCATCCGAAGTCATCGCCTCACTCTCAACCGCATTCCGCACTGCACGTCTTGAGTTAGAGTATCTAACACCCGGCGAGATTCCCTTACCTCTAACATCGGCCGGAGCTGCCGTACTCGATCTACTGTTAACCAAGCTCCGCGACCTAGCCCGCAAGAGCAGGGAGAACGACGATGCTATCGACGAGTACCATGCCCTGGAGCTGTCACTCCGGCAACAGCTTGGGGCACGCGTCGAGGCAATGGATGGCATGTCGCGCGAAATGAAGGCCTTGGAAGGCGACGCGAAGCAGAAAGATGCTCGCATCGCAGATCTCGAAATCGGCATTGAGCGTCTCAAAGGCGCCGTCAAGTCCTACGCTCGTGACGTGTCTGAGCTGGAGGCGTTGGTGGGCCGCATGGAAGGCGAGCTACAAACTGCCAACGCACAAAACAACAAGTCCCGAGAGGACCACGAGGCTGATATGAAAGAGTGGACGGACATCTTCACAGATAAGCAGTCGTGCATCTCGACGCTCGAAACGAAACTGTCGGATGCGATGGCGCAGACGTCAGAGCTCAAAGAGCAGCTGAGCACAGTGAATACTCAACATGCAGAGCTACAGTCCAAGCACAAGGACGAGGTCGCCTTGCTAAACAAGGCACATGGCTCATCGCTTGCCCTGCGTGACGCACGTGTATCGGAGCTCCGTCTGGAAATTGACAGAGTCAATGACGCGCTGCGGGCGGCCCACGAGACAGTACGGCAGCTTCGTGTTGACAACGGCTCGCTTAGCAAGCGACTCGACGACGAGAAGAACAAGGCCAAGGCCGCAATCGATACGATGAAGGCGGAGCTGGAGAGAGTCGTCCGAATGAGCCAGGACTTTTTGGCCACGCCGAAGAAGAGCAAGGTTTTGACTCCGGGGCGCCGCAGCCGGAGTGGGAGTCTGGATGGGCGGGAAAGCGAGGGCATGCCGGCGACTGTTGTTCGTCCGGCGAAACTGTTAGCCGGTGATCTTGCGAGAAGGACAAGTGATGGTGGGAAGGGGAAGAAGAGAAGACGATATGATAGCGGGCTTGGTTTCCTCGATGAGGAGGAGATTGATGTTGATGCTTGAATCTACAGCCCTGTGCGCACATCACTTGGTGGAAAAGATTGCTTTCCTTCCATTTCATTTGTAGGCGTTGCAGACATACTACAGGGCAAACATAGTGCTCAACATTTGGTTTAAAGTAACCGTCTGTCTGTTATGCTGTTAGAATCATCGCCGAATGCTACTCTAATTCTTGACTCTTGGTCGATGGCTTGTCTCCCTAAGGAGATACGGCTCTCCTGAGGTGAAAGTGAGAGAGTGCTCCTCCTCAGCGAATCGGCTGTCCAGAGCAGGCAATGCGGCGCTTCATGGCCTCTTGTGTAACATGATTAGAAAAGCCCAAGCCACGTGAGAGCGCAGCAAGGCAAGGCAGTTCCCAGGGCTGACTCGACTCGGGCTAGCCTGGACGCCTCAATGCCAGATATTTGCCTGACCCAATATTGTGCCCAATATTTGCTAATGTGCTCATGAAGAGCCTTGTCCCAACATGTTCGGATTCTAACTCCATGCAATATCGCGATGGCTGGCTCGATATCTTACGGCCTCGCCACGGCAAAGAACGAAAACATCTTGGTGCTATCAAATATTAACCTCGACTTCTCTTTGGTCAAATTTATTCCATCTCCGGAATACCATGGAGTTGGCCAGTCGCTTTCGCCGAGACGCCGCAAGGAAGCCGAGGATGGCCAAGTCCACTCTGTTGCCCGCAAATTGGCGTTGCTTCTGTGTGAAGACTTGCCCGAGATACCAAATCTCCTGAGGGCGTACGGAATCCGAGCATCAAAGATCGCAGAAGACCGGGTTTTGAACCCCAGAGGTAGTGCTCTGGATGGCGTTTTTCAGGACCACATCGGACTAGATGCCACATCTTTGTGGGCGGCTGCTACTTCTGGACAGGACACGGTCGCCCTTCACCTGCTTGCATGTATGCTTTCTAGGTTTTGGGAACATGAGGAGGCAGTGGCTGTCTGGATGGAGCTGGTCGAGCGAAGAAAGGCTGCCTTGCAGGCAAGATTAACCCGCAATCTGATCAACGCAAATGATATTACAGCCTCTGCAATTCAATTGAGTCGGGAGCAACTAGCGGACTGGGATGCGAGTACAAGGTCAGAATATTCTTTTCATCTATGCTAAGACCAGCAGCTAATACTTGCGCAAAAGATCATGGCTAGCGTCAGCAGACCTCGCATTCTTGCACAAACAGAAGCAGCTGATACTAATACTCGACAACCTTAACATCCAAATAGTACCACAGGAGAATATTCTAGAAAGCGTTACAGCCGCCTGGAAATCTGCGCTACAATTCATGGAGGACATCGTCACCGGTAAACCCATGGCAGTACAACGAGGCGAGGGCCTCCTTGCTATGTCGGCATGGCACCTATATCCGGATCTTGAGATAGTCCTACCTCTGCGAAAGTGCATCAAGCAAAATGATGAGCTGATACCTCATGGCGGAATTGTCACTATTGGGATCTGAACATCCGGAAGCCGATAAGCGCTTCGGCGTGTCATGGTCGCTTCCTCTTTCATACCTTCAGTATTATGGCAAACCTGTTTTCGCTACAGGATCAGTCAACATTCTAGGCTCCCGGATTTCAATGAATCAGCTCATCGTTGTAGCATTCGGATGTGCTGTTGGAAGCTGGGTTCAGACATCTGGAGATATCAGTTTGTGTGCAAGGGTAATCATTGCTCTGGAGAAGTCCGCAATAGGTTCCGACAAGCCACCTCCAACGTGGCTAACTTTATTATCCTCTGCATCAAAACTTTTCATGACCTCATCAAAAGAAGAGAGGGTTGACTACGAGGGACTTTTTGCCTTTGGCCGGAGAAGAGCGTCCACTTTCCTGTCCACGAACCGAGAATCATTTCCGCCGTGGTTCAATCTTTGCCAGGTTCTCACTGTTGTTAATTTGCTTAGGCAACCAGAAGATAAAGTTCTGTGGCTGCGAAACCAATACAATCGTCATCAAACGATGAATCTGCCAAAGGCCCCAGACCTGCAGTTTGCGATTATTCGTTATAATACCGACGAGTTCGCAAAGTTTCGAAAGGCAGCCACTGGCGTGAACGAGAATCACCATCCTTCCGAGGACTCACAGAGGGCGCACTACAATTCAGAACTTGAAGTTTTGTATAACTCGTGGGAGTTCGCTAGCTTAGTCCCGATATATCGTGGTATGGATGGAAATCCATCGCATCGCCGGTGGCTAGTCGATGACATTGATAGTATTGATACCACACGAGGATATCGTCTTGATACTTATGACTACCACTCTGTGTCAATCTCTTTGGTTAAGCGCGCTGCACACATCAATTCTATGATCGGAGAAGCAACTTCTCTAGTACCAAATGGTCTGGCCAACGTCCGGTATGGTCTGGAGTTAGGTTCTTCTCTCGATGAAACAAACACATGGAATGGACATTTTCGCATAAACGTTCCTTACCGTCGCAACCTCTAAAAGGATCTCAGTTTATGTCTCATGGAAAATGTACTACCGCTTCTTTGATTAAAACTGATCGAAACATTGAGTATCGCAATCACTTATATGAATCAACAAGGTCATCAGCGTGGACCTCCTTTTTCAGTATCTTCCGAAGCACACAACAAAACTCATCAGCCTCATGCTCCAAGCTCTTAGCGGAGATTCAGCAACTTGAGAGCAAGATTCGGGTGGAATTGAAGAGTCAACCAGAACTTGCATCTATACCACTCGTTACACCTTCTAATGGGCTACTACCGGAATTGGCGGAACCATTTGAATCTCCTTCTCCAGTTAGAAGAGCGCATGTTTCCGTCTCACAGCCAGTGGACCTTAGTGCATGGTACATCCACACGCAACGTTAAAGCCCAATATCGGACAGCGCTATGTTAATCTTTCCCCCTTCGCAGGAGATGTACATTTGTATCTTCCCGTTGACCACGATTTTGAGTATCCAGACAAAAGTTTTCCATTTCCGGATATTTCTCCGCAAGAGTTACTTACACTCGTCGAATCTTCTGTACTAGATGTCGATAATTTCTTCTCAAACTTTTTGGGCTTAGAGGTCTCCGAGCACCTATTCGACAATGGGGAAATTTATATAACAGAAACCGACGAACTCACTCTATCATTAGATGCTTTACACAGAGCTTCGCAGCTGTATCAAAGTTTGCCTGATGCTCAAGTCGAACTATCCATCACAAAGGCTCCTCTGGGACGTTTTCAATGGGCTAAAGCAACGACCACATCTTGGACTCGGACTCACTCATTTGCATGTATTACATCATTCGAGACTGGGTACATTGATTGTGATCCGGCTACCATGAATGACGTAATGGGCGTCTCCGTCGGAAACTCTCTCTATTTTGCATCATCGCTCTTGACGGATCCTTATTCGTCCCCACAAGAATCTGTTGTTCGTCGATCAATTGGGAATATCGGAAAAAGCGGTGCAGCATTTCTCATCTCACCACATAATCTCAACATACGAGATCCAGAATATGATCGATGGAGGCTAGTCCAGCATGCAATTTCTGACGGCGCTATGGAGAATAATTTTCCAGAGACGTCTCTTCACTTTTCTTTTACGGGATATGAACTCCCACTTAACACTGGTCAACATGGACTCATAGACAAGCCCGCCTACTTTCTTCAAGCTGTCATCCAAGCTTACGAGCGAGGCAGGTGGGTAGCGGACCTCGACCTCCTCAATGCAACAATGAGAGAAGAGCAGTACGTGAAACGTCTCCCGTCGAGATGCAATCATAGCAACAAGGAAATGCAAAACTTCAGATGTCTTGGCTACATTGTAACCATCGACTGTTGGGACGAACTTCTCGACCATCCGGGAACAATAGCAATAGTGAGAGCTAAGGGCAACTGGTTGGCAAGGCTTGCTGTCGTGGCTGTTGCATTTCAGAGAAAACAGCGGGTATTTATCGCTAATAACAGCATATGCTGGGCTTGTGTGAAGGAGCAGCATAGAAAGAAAGATGCGATCTTATTATGTTAGCTTCAGAATGAGAAAGAGTTGTCTTTCGTCATGATGAGATTCTGGATGATTTGAACGCAAGCGCTTCTAAAACAACCCCTCATTCCTGCCAAAATACAACCACCAGCCTTACCGCCTGGTAACCCCGCCATTGACTCTAAGCCGAGAGATAGACAAGCTGAGGCTTGGTGAATCAACATCAAACCCTGCACAAGATCAGATTGGCTCAGCTTGGTCTGTTGGGACGAAGCTTGGACGATACGAGTTTGCTCCAGCCCGGTGTCATAGTTGTCTTCTATAAGTATCGTGAGGTCAGGTTGTTTAACGCGAAACGATTAGCGAGCGTCTGTTGATAAAAAGTCGAAGTCGATGCCATATCCTAAAGTAGAAGGTGAGTATGACAACCTACCAAACACTGTAGTCGCCCGCCCCCCAACCACTACTAGCATTTGTCTGACAAATCCAATGTCCAGGTCAAGTCATGGTTCCGTTTATAACTCTCCTAATTTACTCTCTTCCCCCTCTTGTCTTTTTTTTCTCTTCACTCCTGACATTCAAACGGGACTGTACGAGCCGCTTTTAGGGCCACATTCGGTTGATGCATGTGCCATTCATCATTTTGGTGCAATTGCTAGCAGTGGTTTCTCAGTAGATACGAGAGGAATATAGATACCTTAGGGAAGCAGAGTAGATTGAATAATAAAACACCCAACCCTGTACGCAACAGCTACCTACTTAAGTAGGTAGAGATTGGGCTAGTTACCTATCCGGGTACTCTTCCTAAAAGCAAGAAATGGAGAGCTCTTCCCGCTTCAGGGGCATTCCCGATATCATCTATGGAACCGCTTTCAAGTTTGACGATACAGCGGCTCTGGTCGCGGTTGCACTCAAGGCCGGCTTCCGTGCAATTGACACTGCAGCCAACAAACCACAGTACCAAGAGGCGCTAGTTGGAGAAGGCATTGCAGCGGCACTTGAATCAGGTGTCATGCAGCGCAGCGAATTATTTGTACGTTTCCTTGTATGCTTTCTTTGATTAGTGCTTGCCATTATGTCAAAGTCCAAGTTGACTAATCTCGCTATGATGATTTGTACCAACAGATCCAAACCAAGTTCAGCCCTGCCAAGGCTGGGAGAGATCCAGCTATCTATCCATATGATACCACCAAAAGCATCCCGGAGCAGGTAGAAGAGTCGCTGTCGTCGTCACTCACCAGACTCGGCGTCACCTATATCGACGGCCTTGTCTTGCACTCTCTCTACCCAAACATTGAAGATACTCTGACGGCATGGCGAGCGATGGAGTCCTTCGTACCGTCCAAAGTATCCTATCTCGGTCTTTCCAATGTCGACGTGGATTCGTTACGCCAGGTCTACGACGCGGCCACGGTAAAGCCAAGCAGCATCCAGAACCGCTTCACCCAAGACACAGTCCCAAACCCCGATGCTGACTTGCCGCCTGGCTTACCGTACCCGGATGTTGCATATGATAGAGATGTTCGCGAATACTGCAAGACGACTAACATCACATATGTTCCTTGGGGTGTGCTGTGGAGCAATCCGGCCATTTTAGATGACGACCCGGAGCAGCTGCTTGCCAGGACAGCTCAGAAGATTGGGGTCTCTAAGCAGGCGCTATACTATAGCTGCTTGAGAAATTTGGGAGGTTGTCAAGTGAGCATTTTATGTGGGACGACAAAAGAGGCAACAATGCAGGAAGTGTTGGCGGGATTGGACAAGCTGCAGAGATACCTGCTGGAGAGCGAGGAAAACAAGAAGATATGGCAGGTCTGTGTTGATCATGTGAGATCAATCGCTAATGGTATGTAATGAGATACTGCGCTTTTGTGGCTTTTTATTCAAAAGAATTAGTATACAGTCAAACCTACTTATTGCACAACACCGAATGCAGTTAGAAGTACAATTAGCAGATGTCAACGTTCATGTTATATTTTTGACCGAGACCAATGCATATACAAATGCGTGACTAAAAAGACTTTACAGCATATGTGCGTTTTGAGTAGGTATTGGATCTAACCCTACGGACTTGTTCATTCTGCAAAGTTTGGAAAGGAATCTGAGTACCACAATTTCGAACAAGGAGGTGCAGCATAGAGAATGAACAGTATTGATATGACACTGCATGACTACTCAGGCATCTCTATGACTTGATATGTGTAAATTAGTAGTTAATACTTAATCGTCGAGTGCAGAAAATGTTAAGAAACCCCAACACAGTAAGCTTCTCCAGCCCAAAAGTTACTCAAGCAGTCCGAAGACACAGCGGGGTTCCAGGCGTGAAATTCCGCATCCGTAATGCCGTACTTTGCCTCAACGGAGGAGCAGCTGTCCCCAGCTAAAAGACACATTCTTGTTAGCCACATCGCGTTACCTCTGTTTTTAGGCATGGCAATCTGAATGGGACGATGACTTACACTGTGCGACGTAGTAGTTGTCACAGTTAGATGGGATACCAGTCTGCGTCGGCCCTGGCGGCGTAACAGTTCCCGTTCCCGTTGTTTTCGTCGTTCCTGTTGTCGTAGTCGTGACACCCTCGCTTCCAGAGACGCCGACACAGTAGGCTTCGCCCACCCAAAAGTTGCTTAGACAGTCACTCGAAACGGCAGGGTTCCAGGCATGAAACTGGGCATCCGTAATACCGTATTTCGACTCAACGGCTGAGCACGAGTCGCCGGACTCGGCGACATAGTATGCATCACAATCGGCAGGGATCCCGGACTGGGTGGGCCCTGGAGGCGTTACGGACGTCGTCGTGGAGGAGACAGAGTTGATAGGCGTGGTGGAAGTAGTGGCCGATGTTGACCCAGAGACACCAACGCAGTAGGCTTCGCCGGTCCAGAAATTAGACAGGCAATCGGACGACACAGCTGGGTTCCAGGCATGAAATTCGGCATCAGTTATACCGTACGCTGCTTCTACGCTGGCACAGGTGTCGCCCGCTTACAAGACGAGGGCTCATGTCAGCATGCCCACTGCTTCCATGAAAAGGATGGCTTGGGAAAGACGCAGTGACTCACACTTAACAAGATAATATGCATTACAGTTGCTTGGGATACCCGACTGAGTCGGGCCGGGCGGCGTCACCGTGCTCGTCGTTGAGGTTGGCGCGATGGAAACTGTGGTGACGGATGCTGTCGTGTTGACGCAATAGTAGGTCTGCTCCTCGAACCCGCTGCAATCTGTGCCTAGTTCTGGGTTTAGGGATATGAACCACGAGAGAGTAATATTCCAATCTTGTAACAAGTCGTCACAAGTAACTCCAGTGTCTGCAAAGGTCCATTGAGTGCAATCCGACAAGGATCCGGTCTGCATATGATGAGCTTTGGTGTAAAGAAAACAACCCACGATTCGGGAAGAAAACGGTACTTACGCCTGTGGGCAGGGCGGTGGGGTACACACTCCCCGTTGTTGTTACGTCGATACTTGACCAACGAACGCAGTAGCTTTCATTTTGGGCAAAGGAACAGTTGCTGATGCTTGAACCGGCAAGGCTAGGATTCCAAGTGGCGAGGTCGACAAATGAAATGCCGAAAACAGCCAAAGCCAGGTCACACTGGCTCGCGAAAGTCGTGTTACTGATATCTTCTTGGTAGTCTGAACCATCAATGTAGGTTGTACAGTCTGTTCTGGTACCATTGGCGTAAGTTACGTTGGGACCCATGTAAAGCGCCGGAATATACGTGGCCGTGGGCAGCGAACTTGCCGGGACAGTGGTCCATGCCGGTATGGAGCCTACGTATCCAGGGGCTCCGGCGTAGTTGCTCACTATGTTGTGGCGAGAGAAGTCAGCAGATTCCAGCCTTTGTCTTACAGACGAATGTCTAAATTGATTTGGGAAAGGTCCGTACTGTCACCAACTGGCTCAACGCAGTAGGATTCATAAGCAAAGAGATTTGTACAACTTTAATCGCTGGTCAGCTATACGTGAAACACAAATTCCTACTTAGTCCAGAAAAAGAAATGGTAGGCCACCTTACTTTTCGTTAACCTCAGGGTTCAATATTAAAAAGTCGGACAGTGAGATCCCAAACCTGATGATGAGCAGGTTGCAGTAGTCTCCAGGGGTGGCTTCGTACCACTCCGCACAATCGGCCGTAGAACCATTGGCAGCATTCGTGGGCACAGGCACAGCAGTCGTGGCTGATGCCGTAATTGATGCGGTAGAAGTTACCGGAGGTGTATATGCGGGCCCGGGAGAGTCAACACAGATTTCAAGGCCTACAGTCATGTTGATGTTGCTGCATGTGAGGTCAAATTGGGGGTTCCATGCCAGAATCTGTGCGTAGTTGATTTGCTTGGCCTTAGCGATTGAGGTACAAGTGTCATTAGCCTGCACTGTATACGTTGTGCAAACATGCTCGATACAGAGCGAGCCGGATGTGGGAAAATCGGCGCAGTAAGCCGCAAGGTTGTTGTCAATGAGAAGCCACATGGTTGCCACGCCCTGGCTTTTAGAGACTGACTCGCACGTATCTCCATTTTGTAACGTGTACACGGATCCTGTGCAAGTAGGGCTGGCCGTTATACCCGATGTTGTTGCTGTCGGTGTTCTATGAGAGTTACTGTCAGCAGTATTCACTACGAAGACTATTCAAAAGTAGAAATCTTACGCATTGAAACTCAGAGTTGAAGACGTCAAGGGATAGCTGGTTGCATGACAGCTTGAAGTCAGCGATGAGTATATAGAAACGATGCCATCGTCATGATAGTAAGCCGCCTCAGCTAGGAATTGAAGCTGCTTCAAGTTGCAGTCAGTGCAGTTGAGCGTGCCACCGCCCTCGATGCTATCTGTCAGTTTTTGTCAGCCCCGTCGTCTGCTTTTCCCGCTCTCTTGGGAAATTTTTCTTGTTTTATGTCTCGTCTTGGGGGTCAAAGAAGGAGGTGGTCGCACTTAGATTGCTTTGGTTTGCCGCAACTCCAATTGAATTTGCAGATTCAATGTTGCAATATTGCCCATTCCCGGAGTCAGAAAGACATGTATAATTGTAGAAGTATCTCAATAGCTGAGGGATGGTATAGAGAGGCACATCACCAAGGCCAGTCAAAGAGTCGTAGGCCTCGTCGCCGCATGCTCCTTCAACATCCAGCTCGTAACTTGCAAGGGCTGAAGAACAAAGCGGCGTGCAGAGAGAAGACAAAAAGCTCTCTGGATAGTAGAGGCCTTGCCGCAGTCTCTCGAGGCCTTCAGGGCATGAAAGGTTGGCCATTAATGCGCTGGAGCATGTACTGGTAATATTAGCCGGAAACGATGCATTCGACTGAACGTAGACAATAGCCTCGACCAATGTTGTAAAGAGAATAATAGATCCATAGCAAACGAGTGTAATTGCCGAAGACATGATGCTTCACCAAGCACAGGACCGAGAAGCAACCTAACAAGCTTCAGCTCCGGTATAAGGAAGAGGGAACACGAGGTTAACATGTACGGGAGAGCTGTGAGAGCAATAGCTGTTGCAGTGTATTGCCTATCAGCAAGTTTCTACCTATGAATCCAGCCGGGCCCGATGATTCGAGATCTCACGGTAAAATTGAGGTCACATCGGGCCCCTGAAAAGCGCAGGAGACTATGCCGATCCTGCCAACATCCAGTGCCATTTTTAATCAAGGGCACATCAGTTGATTCGGCTTATTTGGGCATGTGGCTTCTCCTCGATATGGAAGATGGGTCACATGTGAGATGGGTCTAAAAAGCTTGAATTGGAGGACGCGCGGCTGAGACTCAACTTGGTGAAGGGTGCTTAATTTTCATGCTTGTCTACTGAAACCAGGTCGAAGGCATACATGCTGTGCCGCTTTTGCCGCGTGCGCTCGTCTAAGCCGGTAACTAGATCTAACGATAGGTCAGTCTGCAGCAGGTCAAGTGGGATTACCGGAAGCGGCTAAGTAATCTGTCGAGGACGGAGATTGGCATGCAGGTTGAAGAACGGCAGCGAACGAATCGGGGATGACGGATTAAACGCCTTCCGCCGTCCAGGGTCTGATCAAGCTTTTTATAAGCTTTCTAAGGTTACACGCGGGACCCTGTCACTGCATATAATTCACTCTATTGATTGCTAGACCATGCAGGTCATCACGCCAGGGGTAAACCCGGGGGAGGGGGCGGGGCCATGTGGGCAACAGCAACGGCAAGTCTTCAGAGATGTGCAGCTCCTTCACACCATGCAGGACATGGTTGTGCCTTGTTCTGATGGTCTAGGTAGATTATCGCAATTATTCTGGATACCCAGACAGCTGAGAGTTAACGTGAAGATCTGGAGCCGTACCGTCAAAGGCCAATATCTCACTACTTGCTGTGGGCACTGCGTCGGGCCGGACCGATTTCCACGCCAGATAAGCCTATCAACACAGTAGATGAAAGTGCCCAAAACATTAGAAAAGGGGCCAGTATATTAATTACCAAATATGATGCGTTCCGCTTTTGCCATTTGCTATCCTTGTTCAGAGTTTTGAACCTCTACTATCCTCTTCTCCCCTTTACTCTGTATTTCTTTTATGTTGCTTTTCTATAGCTAACATACGATCATTACGGCTTTCGGCTCTCGCCTAGACATTGTTACACTCTTTCTGTGCCTTTACGATGGCTTCAGGTCCTTTGGGAACCATTATCACTCTTTCTCTCTTTGTCTTACTATTATTCTCAAGCGTGCCTTTTTTCGTGCTCTCATCACCGCATCACGGCCATGAGCGTACAAAGTCCGTCTCATTTCTAGATGCCCAAGTTGGAAAGCGAGAGCGAGCCAAGCGGGATAACACTTGTCCAAATGTGCCGGCGCCTGTCGATAGCTGGATCGACTACTCCGTCAAGCTTCGAGGCGAGCCGGCATTCGCAGGTAGTGACTGCATAGCAAGTATAGTAGAGCCCCGTGGTGCCATCGCCCGGAGGGATTATACTTGTGATGAAGCCAATCCATGTTCCAATGGTAACTATTCCGTTTATCAATCTATCCCAGGGCTTCGAGCATACCATCAGACTGCTGACTCCTTCTGTGCAACTCAGCGGCATGCTGCGGCAAGAGTGGCTACTGTGGGTATGGCGCCGACTACTGTGGTGATGGCACGACGCCCAACAGCGTCTGCTGGAGCAACTGCGATGCCAAGGCTGAGTGTGGTATCAACGCGGACCCAGTCAACACGACATGTCCGCTCGACGTCTGCTGCTCGCAGTACGGCTTCTGTGGCACGACCTCGGAGTTTTGCGACACGGTGAGTAGGGCCCCGCGAAGCTGCATATCTACTTGCCTTTCTTTCTTTTTTTAGTCCGCCCTCTAAGGGGACATTGATAGACTGACTTTTGTGACTCAACAGAAGTGCCAAAGCAACTGCAACATGCCCGACGGGTCTGGTCAGGGCGGTGGGAACGTTCAATCCCGCATTGTCGGGTACTATGAAGCCTGGAAAGTTGATGATGTCTGTGCCGCCGTGAATCTTGGCATGAAAAACATCCCGCTCGGGTCTCTTACTCACTTGATCGTGTCGTTTGGGTACATTACTCCCGACGACTTCAACATAAAACCGATGCCGGGAGTGTCAGGCGACACCCTCTCCGGATTCACCGGCATAAAATCGGACAATCCCAGCACAAAAATCATGATCTCACTGGGCGGGTGGTCGTTCACAGACAATGGAACAGACACACAAGAAGTCTTCACCAACGTGGTCAGCTCGCACAGTAATCGCGAGAAATTCATCACCAACCTTCTAGGCTTCCTCTCGCACTATGCATTTGATGGTGTCGACTTCGACTGGGAATGTGAGTAAGCCTTCAGTCCGACACAAAACTCAGCACGGTTTCTAGCAAAGACATAAACTGACAACCCCTATCGATAAGATCCTGGTGCTCCAGACAGGGGCGGTCATGATGGCGATGCTGAAGGCTACCTCCAATTGCTTTCTGAGCTCCGGGTAGCCATGGATTTGGCAGGCGTTGACTATGTCGTCTCCTTTACGGTAAGTTAAGACTTTTCAGATCTCAGCTTCTAGTTAAATCAGACCTGAGCGCTAATGTGCCGAACGTAGGTTCCCACGTCATACTATTATCTCTCAAATTATGGAACTCCTGTAGACTCGGTCTTTGGTAATATCTTGAAAAAGATGACCACGTATGCAGACATGGTCAATGTCATGTCGTACGACTTGCACGGTACCTGGGATGGTCCAAAGGACCAGATCGGCAGCATCGTTCTTGCACATACGAATCTGACCGAGATCCAGCTAGCCTTTGACCTATTCTGGCGAAATGACATCGACCCGGCAAAGCTGAACCTCGGGGTCGGTTTCTACGGCCGAAGCTACCAGCTCTCCAACCCGTCTTGCTCCCAGCCTGGGTGCCCCTTCGCCGGCGGGGCAGACGCCGGTCCCTGTACTCAAACTTCTGGAATCCTTTCATACAAGGAAATCATGAACATCATTGATCAGAACTCCATCACACCGATATGGGACGAAACAGATGCTGTCAAGTATATCACCTGGGATAACGACCAGTGGGTCAGCTTCGATGACCAAGAGACATTCCAGCAAAAGGTCAAGTGGGCTAATGCGAATGGCATTGGCGGGTTGTCCATTTGGGCTATAGATCAGGATACCGATGACCTTCAAGCCCTCCAAGGCCTGCTGTATCCCAAGTCGCTGAACGCTTTTTATGACAACACTACCGATGCCAGCCATTGGCAACAGGTGCAAAGTGGACAATGTAAGTGCTTGCCACAGGAGTAGAGATTTGGCTGGTCTGGTACTTGAGTGCTTAATTTCAGGGGCTAATGGCGGGCACTCTACAGGTCGCTTGACGGATTGTAACAGTAAGTGTTCGACGGGCGAAGTCAAAATCACGGAGCAACCGTGCGATGATAAGTACGGAAAGCAAGGCACAAGTCAGCTCTGCTGTCCGGTAACCTCCGCACCTGACCCGTCAACTTGCACCTGGCGAGGCAACTCGCCGTCTTGTAACGGACGCTGCCACGAGAATGAGGTCGCCATGGAACAGAATAAGTGAGTTGTCTCTTTGAGAGCCCGATCTGCTCTACGCGCCGTGTCTCTGCTTGGCTAACGGTAATACAGATGGGGCGACACGACAAGCCCTTGTAGTGACGGGAACTATGTCTATTGCTGTGCGCTGCCGGAAGGACTCGAAAGCAACTGCCGTATCACAGACTGCGGAGGCAGTTGTAATGATGATGAGAACTCCATTGCAGGTGACTTTTATGACAATTGTTGGCTTGACCCTAAGCAGCTGTGCTGTCCCAAAGACAGTCCCTACCAGGCGGACAAATGCCATTGGCAGGGCAAGCCAGGAAGTTGTTATAACAATGTCTGCGCGTTCGACACCGAGGTGCAGCTGGCGCAGTCGTACGATGGAGGTGGCGACAATTGCGGCATTCAGTTGAGCAGAGACCGGTATGTGATACGTCGAGAATGACCCCTTTGCGTGCTGCGACTAATATGCACGATGGTGTTGTAGTGTTTTCTGCTGTACTGCGCCTGGAGGCGTCCAACCTTTCTTGCCTGTCCCGCTCGAATACTTGTTCAAGGATCCACCGACAGGCGACAACGTCGACGCAGATTTCAAACTGAGTGTTGATGACACCTGGGGCGGCACCAAGGTAGAAGGCGACGATGACACGCCCAACGATGCCGCATTTGGCTTCTTTGTCATGACGTCCCCGGAGGAGATACAGGTTTCTCTGAAGAAGCGGGACGGTGCGCACTGGGAGGTTTTCGACTGCGACGATGCCGTAAGCGAAGAGGTTCAGACGGTTCGCATGTTTTGCAATGATGACTCGCCGGGTTCCAACTGTCACAAGATATACCTCGGACACGGCGTTCCGGGAACCATCCTCGAGATGCCAAAAGGCTGTGGTCCAGGTCCATATGCCGTCGCGATTGACATGGTCGTGTCCGAGCATCAAACCATTCCCGGCCACATCGAGAAGCGCACCACGGAGCCAAACCCTGTTGTGTATGATCTGACTTTTGACTACGATTTCCGTAGAGTACCGAGGGATCTCGGCGACACGCAATGGCGACTAGACTATAGCAATGAGGAGGGATATTGGGATGCTGTTGTCGATAGCCCTGGTCAGACCAGGCGGAAGCGATCCTTCCCCGACTCTGGGCTGAAAGGTACACCCGGCAGTCACAAGCGCTGGCTGGAGGACTCGTGGCATGATGACATGAAGGACCACCGTGCAGGATTGATGTCTCGCGAGGAGCTTCATGCGAGATGGTTTGGGAGCGATGCTATCGAGTGGCTGAAGGGCCTCTTCACCGTTGCGGTCGAGGCGCCGGCGATCACGCACCAGATCTCCGAGACGTTGAATGTCATCCTGCTAGATGAGTCGTACCAGTGTACCATCGCCGGAATCGACACTGCTGCCAAGCTCCTGGTCCAGGCATCTACCAGCGTCCAAATCGACACGTCCTTTGGGTTGACCATCGTCGCTACCCTGGGCATACCCCCAGACCTGAGCCAATCGTACATGTACTTCAAAAACTCGGGCGAGGTCACCGCGCTCTTCACTATCGAGGCGCTGGTCAGTGCCAAATATGATACGCATGACATCGAGCTCTTCGGCCTGGAGAACTTTGGCGCTACCTTCTCCATCCCAGGCATTCTCACCGTCGGACCGAACTTCAAGATCTATGGAAGCGTCAATTTCGACCTGGCCCTAAGCGGCAAATTCCAGGCACATGTAACCCTGGCCAAATGGGATACACAGCTCGGCTTCCCGGAGCTCGACAGTGATGATGATCCGCAGGACATTACCGACCCCAATACAGACGGTACTCAGGAGATCGGCAAGCCTGCAATCGACTGGAGCATCGACGCCAACGGACAGATTACGGCACACATCAAGCCGACCATCAGCTTCGGCATCGAATTCAACAAGGCCTTCATCAGTATTGATCCCGCCACGGTCAACATCGTCGCCGACGGTTGGGTCCAGGCCTACGCTTCTGCGTCGTACGGATCGTTCGATCAGAGCTTCTGCTACGGTTCCAATGCGGCCACCGAGCTATATGCCCAGATCAACGTGCCCAAATCCATGGGATGGCTGCTCCCTGGGGGCCAATCCAAATATCCGATCTGGACATCGCCAACGTACGCCATCATCCCCCAGACATGCTCCAGCTCGGAGCCCAACACCCGGCGAAACTATCTCAGCAACATCAGTGATTGGGTCGATAGTCTTCCCCGAGAGCTCGCTGAGCGTTACTCTCCATCCATAGGGAGGCGCGACATCACGATCGGTCCACTCGTGCACATTCCGCAGCTCGCCTGCCCCGGCAACGCTGCTGACGAGGGCGGTACCGGAAACATCTCCTCGTGTCCCGTGTGCGGCGATAATAGCGACGCCGACTCACAGGAGCCCGACAAACGCTGGCTCGGGATACGAGACGACACTGTTTGCGAGCTCGAGGAATACATCGGCACGGACGACCAGATCTCGTGCAACTATGCCTCGAGCACTTCGAAGCGGACCATCATAGGTGTCTGGGACGGCGTCGCCAACGAGACAGTGACAGTTCTCGAGAAGCGCGTTGCCGAGAAGTCCGTGGGCGCCCTCGGGTATGAGATATTTTTCGGCCAATACGACGAATGTAGCGACGCCAAGTCGTCCACCATCGACAGGAACTACGTCTTCCAGAACAGCAATGCTGCGTGTCTGGCGGACGTCGTAAAGCTGACCAACTCGGTCGTGAACCAGCGGATGCCAGGTCTCCAGCTAGAGAGTAAGTTTGTCACCTTTTTTTGCCCTAGCCCCCTCGGCGTGAGCATAGTATACCGATATATTTTCAAGTTCGGTACCACTATCCTTACCATGTGACTGATTCACTGACTGGCATAACATAAACAGCTGATCATGTCTACGAGGCGCAGACGTTGGCTGCCTTCATCGTCTGGCTGGCCGACAACGCCGCCCTCGGCACCTACCAGAAGCCAACAGCCGCATGGGTGATAGAGGTGATCCTCGGACAAGGCGCCAACGGGTTTTTGCTCGTGTCCCCGGGGAACAACGGCTTGCGCACGCCGACTAACGGCGACCCGGTGCAGACGGTCATGGCATACGGCTTCGGCCGCTCCGACGGCGTCATCGGGAACACGCGGCTGACCAAGGCCCGGGGCCAGCAAAGCCTCGCGCTGATCCTCAAGGCGATCAACGGCGCCAAGAACGTGTGGTTCGGCGGCGGCGCGCCCAACACGGTCTCGCAGAACGACAGGACGGTCAGCGCCGGGCGGCAGCGCATCCGCAACGCGGCCTCGCCCTTCAAGTACCTCAACTACCAGCCCACCGACGGCTCGGAGGCCGTGTGGAACAAGTGGATGCGCGTGTCCAACTGGATCGACCTGGTCTGCTCCGTCTTCGACGCCCAGTACCCCTGGGGCCAGGCCAGATACGCCGGCGAGCCGACCAACACGGCGGGCACGCCCAGCCTACGCGCCCTGTACGCCTACTTCATCGACGCGCACCTGGCATCCATCGAGGCCACGGCGCGGCAGTGGGCCACGACGGCCAACAATGACTTCAACACGTTCTACCCGCCGAGCAGCCCCAACGAGCAGAGCTGGGTGAACGCGGCGTTTGGAGCCAGCGGCTTCGCCACGGCGAATGCGCTGCGGTTCCCGCGGCCGGGCGGGACAGGCCCGTCGCCGTATGGAGCATACGCAAACCAGCAGTTCACGCTGAACGGTGGTGGACAGCAAGTCAATCTGGGGAATCCTGGAGCAGTCTGAACGGAATGACCCCTTGTAGTTGTGTTGTGCGTCTTGACAAGGAGCCGGCGAGGTCAACGGATAGGAGCAGTGCTCGTAATGAACGAACATAAAAATGATATCTGTATAAATAAATCAGTTAATTGGTGAATGAACAGATCAACCAATAAAACAATAACTTGGACTTGACGAGCCAGCTTTTAGACAGAAAAAACAGTGCAATGATTTCAGCCACGCGTAAAATACGAACATACTCTGAGACGAAACTCAAGCATACCAGAATCCGTACCTGTTTTCCGAGACGAGCTCTCACCATCCTAAGGTAAGCCAACTTTGAGCTTAGATTTAGTAATCTACTGTTCGGACGCCTGGCTAAGCTCGAGCTAAGCTAAACTACCGTGGAGATTAGGCAGTAACAAGGAATCTTAGTAGAGCTTAAAGGCCTAAGAATGAGATTGAAGGAGGATAACTACTGATACTGCTTAGGAAAAGGGGCAGGTAAGATCTGGTGTGGGCTGCGCCAGGCTCATGAGGTCTCTTCAACTGGCTGACAACTGAACCAAAGTGTAGCCAGGTAGCGAAGAGCCTCAAAAGGTGGCCAGCTATGCTGATTAAATTAAGAAATCGCTTGAGTCTGGTCTCGTAGCACCAGATCACTGTTTCCTATTTTTACCATCGCAGAGAGAAGAAACGTAAGAACACAGGGCAATTCGAAGCTGCAACAGTTCCTATACCACATTCACCCATCGAAACGAGACAGCCTTGGAAGGTCATCCCAGTACGGTCCGGTCCGAGCGCTAATCTAAGGTACGCACTAGTGTTATCGACAAACACCCCGCCAGCCCACCGCCAAGACTTACCCCACACCATAAGGTATACCGTATCCCTAATCCATCCATCACGAGGTCGATTATGGCCTCCGCCGCCGTAGAGGAAGGAGGAGGAGGAGGAGGAGGCAGGCGGCCACGCAAGATCCTGCCCAAGGAGGCCGTCGTCGAGCAGGCGCCAAGCCACGACGGAGCTCCGTGCTTCACCGCCTACACCGTCGACGCCGAGCAGACCACCCGGCCCCTCTTTGCGCTCCGCATCTACGACACAACGCCCGAGGCCGAGGCGGGAGAAGGCGCCGATCGCACCCGCCAGCTCGCCCTCGATATACACTCGGGCACCGAGTTTGAGCGCTGCGACACTGCGCCTGCCGTGGACCGCGACCGCATCGAGGTCGTCCGCCTCCCCATGCCCGCCGACACGCCCGACGAGCAGCGCATCGAGCGCTGCCAGGCACACCACATGGCCGAGGTGAGGGCACGCACCACATCCCACCGCGCTGATTTCTACCTGCCCGCGACATTTGACACCGAGGGCTGGTGGCGCGGCCTTGTCATCATCGACCGCCTCGAGAACGGCTGGGAGGGCGTGACGCTCAACCGGCCCCGCCCGGAGAAGGGGTTCACGTCCGAGGGGGGCATGATCCCTCCTTCAGCGAGGAGGACGGATCCCCACGGGGGGCTCCTGTACGTCCGGTGGGAGCTGACGGAGCTGGCGAGGCGCGAAAACGAGCACGATCCCCTGCCGGAGGTGGCTGTCTCGCAATACCCCATCTACAGACTGGCGAACTGCCTCGCGGATCTGAGAGAGCACATGCAAGCATTCCGACAGTTTGTCCAAGAAGGTGGACTGGAGAGAGAGCTTGAGGCTGAGTCTCCTTAAGCATAGGCACGATCTGAAGGGGAAAACAAGACAGAAACAAGTGTGAATCATCCGGGCGATGCGCCATGATATGAAACAACGTTTGTCGAAGCATAGGATCCATTGTTCTTGACCAGTTGTAATTCTCAGTCACGATGTATACGACCATGACTCGCTTCTTCTAACTTGGGGCTTATCGATCAACATAATACCCCAAGCCATATCATGGCTGCATACGACCCAATATAACGAGATTGCTCCCCTCTCGTAAGACATGGATGGGCCGATTTGTGTGCATTGACTTGGGGGAGCATGGCCTTGCCTCTGTAACTTATCAGGCAATCTATTCTCTACTACTTATTTCTTTTCACTCGCTTCACTTAGATGTTATCACTCCTGATACAAGAATGACTGACCCTTCATTCTCAATACTTTCTCATTCCCTGTAGGCTTCTTTTTGTGTGTGTGCGTGGGCTACGAGATATGTTGAGTGAGTAGCAGTAGACTAAGCTGCCAGATTCAGTGCTACAATTGCCTCTTCTAATTGAAGAAGAGGTGATAGCATATGGTCAAGTCAACCTTTTCTCAGAATATATTACAGGCATTAAGGTATAGTTAATATAGAAACTTAGCAATGGAGCCTAAGACTGTGAAGGTGCCTAGAATGTGCAGGATACTCGCATTGCGACCAGGCCAGTTCAGTTCTGACCGCACAATCTCACAAATATAGAGAGAATATAGAGTTAATTATCGGCTTATTCGAGTACTATGCAGTATGTTGTTCTCATCTGCCTCTTCCTAGTGTGTAGATAGAAATGTGCCTCATTCTATCAAGTAGCCCTCCATTGTCCTTGAAACGCCAGACTCGCCTCACTCATTGATGTGTACTGGTAATGGCTATTCTTCAATGGTCTCTTGATACTTCTCACGGCTAATAGCTCAGCATATCATCAAAGGTGTCGGTCTTCGAATCAAGAGTGAGATGGATGCCTCCAAGCAGCCGCCAAGTACTCGAAGGAAAGTTGCTAGCACTTCATAATGCGGGTTAGGGTTACGGAGGACCACGGTGCCGGTGTGTGCAGTCCATGATGGTCTGGAGTAGGATGATGAGGAAGTATGAGCGGTTGAATTATGCGACGCAGGAGTGAAGATACCTGCCTTCATCGCGACTCCATATAGTTTCATCCGCCACTAGCGTTATTCTTCGCGTTCATGGATGTCTCGGCTGGCGCTCGACTCCTAGCTATCCTGGCCTTCTTGCGATGTAGATAGCAACACCTCCAAACACACGAGGAAACCAATACGAGACCGATGATCGGCAACCCGACGAGCATGAACCAGAACAAGCGGGTGTCGGACGCGCTCATATGCGATGTGCCATCGTTGCTCGAATCGCATGCTTCTAGCAGAGTCGGGTCAACCGTCGCGCCGGGCACCCACAAGGTCAACGTCGACGTTGTGCATGGCAGCTGCGGCGGAGGCGGGCTCAGAGTGGCGACGTCGGACGATTCCCAGGAGATGTGCCAGGCGTTGTGCACACGGAAGCCGTGGGGGAAGCGCTGAGTATAAATGTCGGTCCAAGTTTGGCTGCTGGCGGGTGATGGTGATGGCGAGGCGCTTGCTTCTCCGACAATGTCCTTGAAACAGACAATGCTCGAGATGTCTGGAATCGGAGAGCCGGTAAGGTAATCAAGGCTGAAGCCGCTGATCGGTGCATAACATAGTTAGTGATTGTCCACGTTCCGTCCCGTCCTCGGCAGGGTAGATTGGCTGCCAGGGCGACGCAAGGCAACGTACCTGGAACAGCAAAAGGCGGTCGAGAAGGTCTTTATATAAGTTGCAGGCGTCCCGACGCCCGACCGAGTGCCCTCCAGGTTATACGCTGTCCACCCGCTAGGACAAACGGCCGGGCTGAACTGGAACCTCGTGCCCTGGTCCCATCCCTGAGGCTGGCATGCCGAGAACCGAGAGTCGGCGGGGCCAGAGACAAGGACACTTACAGTTGTGGTCGAATACTCGTTCCAGTAGAAGCTGGAGACGAAGCTCGTGGTGACGAACTGGTCGGCGCAGCTCTGCGGTGCAACGAAAGGCGTTGTCAGGGCCTGAGGGGCTGCCGCCGTCGAAGGCATTCTGCCGCGTTCTCACAGGACTTTAGGGGTCGCCGGGCTGCGCGGTGACCGAGTCAAATAGTCGTGTACGAATACCAGGGCCATTAGTCGGCCAACGTCGGTCTGCTCAGAAATTATTGATATGTGATGGATAAGGGCGAGAAATGCGGAAGACATATCGTGCAATTTGTAGTATCATTTCGCTAGGGTGGTATTTCGACGTGAAGATAAGGTACTATTGTGGCGATGAACCGCTCAAAACAGCTGAAGCCAACACGTGCTCTACCCCGGGATTCTATCAAGGGAAATGGCCCTTTCTTGTTGGTGCATCATATTGCGATACTGCAGGGACACGGCGTACATCGCGTGACCGATCTTGGCAGAGCAGGCATATGGCTTGGCGTCATGGATAAGAGTCCAGATCAGAGTCTTGCCCGGCCAATAGTTCAAGTTATCTCGACAAAAATGTCCATTGTTCCTTTAAGATTAAGCTTAAGGTTAAGGTTGCTATAATTACTACACTTTCAAGCGCAAGAATACATGTTGACGACATAACCAGCCCTACCATATCAGTTATACAGACTCTATACCTCTTCAATATTATTGTCTTTAACCGATATAGATTTGTAATTGCCAAATGTTTCTCCTGTAAACGTGATACTGTGGATAGAAAGATGGCTGCACTTACGGAGCGGATCATATACATGTATGTGCACACCTGCCAGCAGCTCTGCACAGTGCCAACAAGTGAAGGGTATCCTGTCCGTCGCATTGAATGTTATCTCTAACTTCAAAGTCCCTTGATTCCACTCGCACGCCGATGGGCAAGAAAGAGGCGGCGGTGGTCCTCCCGGCGTTATGGGATGTGGTCGTGTACGAAATGCGGGATGTCTCGAAAGGCGTGCAAGCCTATCCTATCATTTCCGTTTACATTTACTGCCTTGAGGGACGATGGTCTTACCTGCCAGCAGTCAAGTGACTTCTTTGCCACTATATGGAATATTTTCACTTGCTTCACTTAGCTATTGTTACTTACAATACGAGAATGACTAACCCTTCATTTTCAAGGTTTTCTCATGCCCTGGAGGCTCCTTTTGTGTGTACTACATGGTATCTCGGGTGGGTGTTGATCAGCACTAGGCAGTACGGCCCTGTTTCACCACAATGGCAAGGTGGGTGTGTCACAAGGTTGCCTGCGACTGCCACAAAGCAAATAGGATGGGGTATCTCAACTAAGCAATTCAGACTGGCAGAGCTGTTATATTTTGTCGGTTCTGGAACATTGTTTCAGATAACGGAGTGTTGGGAATAGTCTACCTCTTCGATGCTCAACGCCCTATACAGCAAGTAGATGAAGTAAGGCTTATACTCGGGTGTTCTATGCCTATAGTACTACGACGAGATGGAAATACCGGAGCAAGATTACCTCCAATCGGAGCTTGTCTGGTCCCGGGTATCATGTTTGGCGAAGCCTGCGCGGGCCTAACGAGCGATGGAACACCCAAAGCAAACTACACAGGGCCCCTGCCATCGATGATTGAGCTTGTTTGATGGTTGAAACTACACCAGACTCATTTAAGATTCCAAAATCTTTCAGTAACTAATAAAATTTCGGCATAGTTTTTTAATTCATGAGTATTACTATCGAATATTCTTCCCAGACAACCTCGCTTGATGTAGATGTCAGACGGCCCAGTAAGGCCAAAGCTAATTCTCCTACATTATCAATGAAAAGGTGTGAAACTCAAAACTTGATGCGAACATGGTTGTGCGCTAGTGGCTCAGCTACACCATAGGAGTTTAGGTTGATGGAAAGATTAATATATTGTTCCTCAATAGCTTCAAAGCTAAGCTGTTCGGTTTGATGCGCCCAGAACCAATGCTACATAAATATTTGCTACTTAAAATGCACTATGCTTTCTCTGACCGCAGTAAAACGCCAGCCCATAGTTCGATGTGGTAAAAGTGATGACTGATCCCTTCGGGAAGAAGAAAACATCGCCAGGACTAGCTGTCACCTCCTGACCAGTTTCATCCGAGATAGTGAAGTCTCCCTCGAGAATGATCTTCATCTCGTCGTAGGTGTATGTGTACTTTAGAGGCTCTCCCTTCTCTAGCCTGTAGAGGCCGGCAGATATGGGGCTCTCGGCGCCGGTCTTGTCTGATGAGAACAGATCGCCGAGGTAGGCATTGTCACCGGCCAGTAGCGGAATCTTGTATTCCGACTGGGCCTTGGGGAAGATTGAGAATGCTGGACTGGATGCCATTGTGCTGCTTGTGGGTTCTGCAGGGGCTGCTACTGCCGACTTCTTGTTCACCAAATTCTTCCTATTGCGATGTCAATTCTATGCTGCCCGTGAGAGACGAATCAATCCACTGTGCCTTGTCTCGGATCTCGGGCACGCTTCTAAGCTCTGTAAGGGCTGACTTACAAGGATGCGAAGATATCTTGGAGCCCCATCAGTGAGCTCACGGACTCGAATTGGAGTGCTTGGGTCGATCAAGAAATGGGAAAAAGAAGAAGCTCAGGTGCCGAAATCAACAACGAGAATAGGCCGACCCCGGATATTTAAATCAATTGATGGCATTGAGCTTGATAAGACGTAATGACGATTATTGCACTGATACACCGTTACCAAACCGCTAATAGCGACGGAGTAGCTTATCTGGGAAGCAGGTCTCCTACAGACAACAGAGCCGGCCTACCGACACGCTCTCAAAGCGGCAAAGACTCCCGATTTGAGGGGGGCTCGTCAGAATAGAGGTCTTTGGAGGCGTGCGTGCCCGCGGGTGCCCCTCGGAGCGAGTCAAACGGACCATGCACGGTTCAACACGGCCCTGCTACTTGGGACCAGCCCGTAAGCTCGGCACTTCTGAACTCCAATAGGCAAAGTGGCAGGTCTTGGTGATCGGGGCGTAAGCGATCACGGCCGGAGACCACCGCCTATCAGACGGCGATGCGGGCTGCATTGGTGCGGGCTGGGCGGCATTAGCAGCTTCCCCGCTATTTTAGCCTCCTAAGGGACAGCATGTCCAAATCAAGTAAAAAGTTGTCGACGAACTCGTCACTATTCATAGCAGGCTGAGTAACAGGAACTGAATTAGCCTGGTTACACCTGCGGGGAAATACTATGCATTTGTACGTGGATTACAGTACAGTAATGTCCAGGTTCACAGTCCACTTTTAGCATCGAAACTTTCCCTAGTTAATTAGGTCAGCTTTTGGCTGTCATACAGTCTTGGCCTTTTTCACACTGTGTAGGTAGATGGCCAGTGCACTAACAAGCTGACCTTGGGCGAGTCATCAACTGTCGGCTTAAGCCAAACAGGAGAAGCAAAGCGCTTTGCATCAAGAGTCTTGACGACAGTGAAGATATATAACAGCTTGATACGGATATTATATTGATTGGTACGCTAAATGACACCAAATCCTAGGCACTCAACCTTTTGAGTTGACAGGGACTGATACTAGCGAGCCAGAAGCTAAGATGGTCTGTATCAATACAACCATATCTGATGCGTACATTTTCTTGCTAATGAATACACCAGATAGACTAACCTCTCATCAAACTATGTCGACCTAGTTGTAATACTTAATTATCTATCATGCCCTTGCCAAATCGTTCACTCACTATGATAGGTTTCGGAGCTGTTCGTTTGGTTCAGGTGCCGGACCAAGATCAGGGGATACATAGGTTAGGGGTGTTGATAGTCTGTGACAAAAGAGAGCCCCGCTAAGCCTAGTGGTAAGCTCCTTGGCCCCTGACAGGGGTCAATT